TGATGAGAATCTTTCAGAAAACGTAGGTTTAACTAGCGCAGCTATGTCAGTGGCAGGTTCTTTTACTGGAGATGTTCCAGAAGGTTCCTTGACAGGACTTGGAGCTAGTGAACTTACTGAATTAGATGACGAACAATTAGAACAAATGATGATGGAAGATGAAGAGTATGGTAGGCGCCAGTTGGAGCTTGCAGCTATTGAAATAGCAAAAAAGAAGAAAAAAGAAGAACGAGAAGCAAAAAAATTGGAAAAGGCACGATTAAAAGCATTAGAAATATTGGCAGCTGAAAGACAACGAGATCCTAATGCACCAGAAGGAACTGACGGAGAAATACCAAAGAAGAAAAAGAGAGGTCGTCGTAGTAAAGCCGAAATTCTTGCAGAACAAATGCGTAGGGACGGGGCTCCAAATTTGAATACTAGTTTGACTGCTGCTATGCCACAAAATTTGATAACTACTATACCATCTAATATTAATCCTAATATATCAGCTGTTATGACGCCTGATGCAGAAAGAACAGGTGAAGGACACATTCCTATGATGACAGGACCAGATGGACAACTTTTTAATCCTGATGGATCACCTATAAAACCTAAAAGAAGAGGGCGTGGAAAAGGTAAAAAGACTCTTGCATTGGAAGCAGCTAGAGCTGCGGAAGCAGCAGCAAAAGCTGCGGCTGAAGCTGGTTTAATAGGAATGGGAACTGATTCAAATTCGGAGATAAAACCCAATGAAATTCCGAATGTACTTCCTACACCAGGTAGTAGCACTTCTGGTTCGGCTCCGTCCACACCACCTGCTGGCGTTGTTACAACACAAGGACCACCTTCTTCACAAACACCAACTTCACAGTCTGTTTATCCATCATTACCACCTAATCAACAGTCTTCCGTTATTACCAGGATGCTTCAATCTCAACCCGTATCGAGTAGTCCACAATCGTTTTCCGCTGCAGCTGCAGCAATGGGACACAAATATTTTGGAGGACCAAACGCTGGAAGTCAAATGATGGGTGGACCTAGGACAGGTTACGAAATGCAACCACGTGGAAGAATTCCTTCTCCATACAGACAAGCGGGGCAATCTTCTATACCACCTCATTTTGCAGCTGTAAGATCAGGAACTCCACCAATGAGAATGAGAGTACCTGGTCCACAAATATATCATACGCCACATCACCCAATGGATCCTTCTCCATCAGGTGGTGGACCAATATCGATTAGCAATCGAGATCGTAGTTCTCCACTTGGTCCTGGACCTGCAATGATTCCACCAGCTGCTGGAAGTCCTCTAACAAAAGGTGGTCCTACACCTCCTCCACCTCCTCCTTATGTTAGAGGAGCACCTCCTATGTCCAGGTTTACAGACAATCCAATGGGTCCCAGACATCAAATGCCACCTTTTACGAATGCTTCACCAGTTAATCATAATATGCAACAACCATCACCACCTCCTAATCGACCACCTGGTAATTTTTCTCCATATCATCCTCCACCTCCACCAAATTATCATTATGGTGCCTATCCACCTCCACCACCATTATCTACAGCAGATGATGCAGCCGCATATCAAGGATCTCCATATCCCGCGGATCATTTTTCATCTCCTGCAGATAATCAACCACCTATTCAAGCTCCACCTCCCCCTCAACCTCCATCTCAACAGCAAGCACATTCAAATGCTGATGCTGGCAATAAACAATATGATGAAGAAGGTTCTGGAGAATTTAGTGGTTTAGTATCATACTTCAGTAGCCAGAGAGAAGATGATCTTGATTCGTAGCATGAGTGAGATCTTGGCCAACCCTGAATCTTTACATAAAATGCATTAAATAATAGTATTTTAACAATCAAGTAAAATCACAACTTTTGCTCGAGAGGACAAGTACAAGAGAAACATAAAAAAAGTTAATAACATGTAATGTAACGTAAATAAAAAAAAGTAGATATAAATTTATATCTATATGTATAAATATATATGTATAAATATATATATAATATATATATATGTATATATATACATATATATATATACATATACATATGTATGCATATATATACATATATACATATATATAATACACATATATATATACGTCGGGGCATTGGAATGTTTAAAATAATGATTGAAGAAAGAGTATTTCCATAACATACGATGTACGTTTTAGCGTTATTTTATACGCATATTGTACTGTTTTAAAATATAAGAAAAGCGTAGAGTTAGAATTGTCTTCCTCTTAGACCTCTTAAGCAAACAGTTGTTTAAAATCTTTGTACTTTTAAAATAGAAAAAAAGAAAAACCGCGCCAAAACCAAATCTGAGGTTGGCCAAGTGAAAATAAAAAAAAAAATATAATGACTAACAATGAAGCCTATTTCTTAAAAGTTGTAAGCTTTTTGTAATTAGTTCGAGTTTGATTTATATAAAGCAAACGACCAGTCACTAGTAGCAACTTATGTTGCATATTGCTAGAGAAAGGATTACACAAAGATCTGACCAGAATTTTAACTAATCATTCATTACTATTTACACGTGAAATTAATGCACAGTTACTTTCGAATCCATTGTAGATGTGTAGATGTCCTCTCCCAAATAAACGTTTGCTGTTAAAAAAGTCGATCTTAGTAGTAATCAGAAAAAATTAACAAATTCGGACTATGCGCCGTTGTTACATGTATATATGTAAATACAATAAGTCCTTTAGATTATATTACATGTATTATATATACACAGTCATGCAGAACACTATAAAATGAATTAGTGCAAAGGGCACAAATGTAATATTTAAATTAAAACGAAAGAAATGGCATCCGATTATAATAAATTAACAAATGGTGTGAAGACTACTACTATAATTATTTATAAAGAAAAATTAAGAATTTATAATAGGTAGTATATATATTGTATTTTACAAATTTTACTTGATAATTATATTAAAAAAAATAAAACATTTGGATATAGTTATATTAGAGAACAGGAGGCTGCTAAATTCAATTCTAAGAAAGTGAGAGAAAAATTTAAATGAAATAAACGTGTGTAGATAATCAGAAAATGAAGAAAAAAAATTTTTTATTTTATCGTGGCGTGCAATTGCAAATACATAGTTTATATGTAACTATATGTGTGTAAATGTATATGATTTTTTTTTTAGACATGTGCAACAATGTTGACAGAGACTAAAAAGACTACTTTTTTCTTGTTTATTTTTTCTATATCCATTCTTTTTTTTTTGGAAAATATCTTTATAACACTTTTCAAGTGTTTAAAAAAATTATATATATATATATATATATATATATATATATATTATTAATACATATTATTTATATATATAATATATAATATATATGTTATATATATATATATATAAATAATAATATATTATAAAGAACTAATTAAAATATATGAATATTTTGTATCATTAAAAATTATTATAAATTAAATCCAAACCTTTATTCATTAAAATATTATTTATGCAGTTTTGAAAAATTTATTTGAATTCATTTTTTGGATAAATATTCAAAAGTGAAGAAGTGAATATAAATAAAATTAATCAAATTGAGTGATTCACTGAACAGATACGTTTATATACAAAAAATAATAAGAACAATAATTAAAGTTAATTGAGTTAACAATAAAAACATTAAAATATGTTTTTTAACTTTTAATTTTACAACAATTATACAACAGCCTCCTGCTCTTTGATCTGCAAAGCTGATAGTGTCTTTGCGTCACAAAAGTCATGTATCTGTTTAGTTATCACAAATACGTGCATACCTACATAAATAGAAGTTATATGAATAAAAAGAAGGAAATACATTATCTTAGGATTAGCTGCTTGGGATAGTTTCCTTTACTTCATCGAATGTTTAATGACCGATTTGAATGATTATAATACACATTACATCATGCCGTATAATATAATAGAGAATTTACGATCGATAATTTTATTAATTTTACATCTATATGATATATTTCAGTTGTATATTGTTTAATGTACAATCTATTGTCTTCTTTAAATATAATGTGTATCTTCGGACCATTCGTTCTTAGGATGCGCTTCAAGGAAAACAAATTTTTAATCTTTTTTTTTCCTTTTATAAATATTCAAATGATTATTAAAACTATAATATATACAAAACATTCTTTATCACAAAATATTATTATATAAAATATAAGAATTTACAATTATTGCCATAAAATGCAAATCTAATTTATGGTAATACAATAATTGTATGCTTATATATATATATATATATATATATATAAAAACTTGAATTTTTGTCCGGATTTTGTTTCCTTTTTTATCTGATTTTCAATTTTACTGAGCAAAGATTAAAAGAACATGAAATCGATTTTTCTTTTAAAAATTTATATGTATTCATATATATTTGTGATAATATAGTGACTTGATATAGTGACTTGAAATGAGATAAACATATAAGTGATTTATACAACTCAAAAAGGTACTTTATTTTCATTTATGTACCAAACTTTTTCGCATTTATAAGTGTTTCCTTGAAACGTAAACGGACGAAATGTCTTACTAAGACAACAATAAATGTGGTGCAGTTTAGCTTTTGTTTTTCGTAAGGGTCTAGACCAAACGCAATTATATTACATGTTGTAGCCTAAATACATTTTGTAATAAAATTCAATATATTGAATATCATTGAATGTTTTCTTTTTGAACAAAAAATATTTTAATGCGATAGTTATAGAAGAACAATTTATTTACTTGCTTTTAATTATATTGTTTTATAATAATACAAAATTTCGATATTATAAATATGCACACTTCAAGTCAATCATTTATTTTAATATAAAAGTCAAAATAATATATGCACTAATTTTATATATATAATATTAAATCTTTCATTTTTATATAAAATGAAAACAATATTGCAAATTGTATATAAACTTTCTATTATATACAATGCTCTTAAAAGTATATATTTACTTTATAAATATCTTAAGTAAAAAAAAAATTAAAGTAATTTTCACGTATAATTGTTATAAAAAATAAAAATAAACTATTATAATATCAAAAAAAACTTTTCGTCATGCATTTTATAACAAATACAATGAATTTTTATTTTTGTATATAATAATCATGTTACAAATAAGAAAGCTTAAAGTAAAGTTTGCAATCTAAATTGCTGTTTCATGTATAACACTGAATATCATTTAACAATTTTAATTTTATTATAAAATACTTTCTTATTTGCAGGCTTCACTTCACCAAATCTGACTTTTCTTTTTTCTATTCTAGCCTCCAATTCAGCCTGGAATAAAATATGAAAATAATTATAAAAATTAATATATAATTTTTATATATATCTTTTTTATAAATATAAATTTTCATATACAATTTCATATACATATCATAATATATTTAAAATTTAAATTTGGTATAATAAATTTTTCATTTATTTATACCTTTTCCATTAGACTAGAAACAGATGTACCAAATCTTTCTGCTCGTTTTTTTAAAACTTCATAAGTTGTATGCTATAAATGCAAAATAAATTATATATTGAAAACTAAAAAATATTATGTTGATATTTAAATAAAAATTACATACCACAGGTGTTTTTACAGATGCAGCTGATTTACTATTTTGATTATTAATACTGAATCTTGCAGATCTAGCTTCTTTTTTAGCAGCTTCTGATAATGGTAATCCAAATTTCTTAGCTCTCATTTCTAATCTCTGTATATGCAATAAAAAATAAACTATATATTGATACTTTATAATTATTATAAATATTATATTATTTATAATTTTTAATCTGTTACAATCTTATAAAGTATATCAAAAATAAAATATTACCTCTTTGATACCAAGTTCTGATAATTTAATTATCTTTCTTTCTGGTGGAGCAGTCTCAATAGATTTTGTATCAATTTCAATTTTTTCTGTTTGTTCATTCTTAATTTCTTCAATTACTGGTTTTCGATTTAAAACTATTTTTTTTGCACTTATATTACTTTCAGTAGACAATTTCCTTTTTTCATTTCCTTCTTGTGAGTCAGGTTTATTTGATAACTCTTCTATTTCTTCATCCTATTTAAACAAATATATTTTTTAATATTAATTTTATAATAAAAATTAGATAATATATCAAATTTATATTTTTATTTACACCAAGAACTGCATCCTCATCTAAAATTTCTTCCGTAGTTTCATCCAAAGATAAAGCAGAATCTAATAATGAAAATATTGTTTCATCAATATATAATTGTTACAAAATAAAATATAATTTAAAAATCATTCAAAAGCATATACCACCATGAATTGCTAATTGAAGCCTTTCAACCAATTCATTTTTATTACCAGTAGTAGGTAGTCCTCTATGTTTTAACTCAATCTTCAAATCTGCAACCTGTTTAATAATGTTTTATTTTTAATTACTGTTACACATAATTCTTTTCAATAATTTTAATATTTATATATACTTTTTCTGTTTAATAAACACAATATATATTCTTAAAATATTAATAAAAATATTAATTATTTAAAAATAATTATTTTAAATAATTTATTTATATATAATAATATTTTTTTATTATATATAATTATTTTTTAATTTATTTAAAAATAATTATTTTAAATAATTTAAACAAAAATTAATATAAAGAAAATTTTTTTATAATTTGTTTGTTATAACTTGAAGGTTAGCTTCCCGGATATGGAATCATATCAATGATACATTTAGATTACCTTCATTTTTGAAAGTTCTGTGAGTCCTTTTTCATAAGATGAATCAGCCATGATGTATCAATATTATTTTCTTCCAAATGACAGTACTTTTTGATCTCTGATTATCATGTCACAAGTTTTCACAAGATTTTAAGAGACCAGAAGGCAAATCAAATTGAAGTGCATACAACACAAAAAACTTTAATATCACTATCTTTCTAAATGCGACTGACCTTTATTGATCATTATATCTTAAAATAAATCATTAAATTTTTTTTTTATAAAATGAAACTAAATATAATAAAATTGAAATGTTTTTATAATTTAAAAAAGAAATGCAATATTAGTTTTAAATATATATTTATTTTTAATTAAATATTTCCATAATATCTCTAAATAAGCATATACTTATATAAGGATCATTTCGATATATCGATTATTCTGATTATACTTTCTACAATAACATAGATTATAGATGCAAAACTTAACTTGTAACACGTTTATGAGGAGATTTATGTGTGAAGTAAAATAAAAATCATATATATATCTGCCTAATTGTATAATAATTGTAATAGTTTATGATGGTAGATGAATCAACGAAGAAAACATTAAGTAATATTCCATTGTTACAAACAAAAGCAGGCCCTAGAGATAAAGAATTATGGGTGCAGAGATTGAAAGAAGAGTACCAAGCTTTAATTCAAGTAAATTTTAAATTTTAAATATTATTCTCTACCATATGTTTATCTGAAACCAAAAAAAAAATTGCCATTATTTAAATAATTGAAAAGAATAAAAATTTTTAGTGTATTTAGCAATAATTTTAATTAATTTTTATTTATTTTTTTAGTATGTAAAAAATAATAAAGAATCTGACAATGATTGGTTTCGTCTGGAATCAAATAAGGAAGGTACAAGATGGTTTGGAAAATGTTGGTACATACATAATTTATTAAAATATGAATTTGAAATTGAATTTGATGTAAGTAATTGTTTTTTTTCTAAATTTATTAAATTTATAAAATTAATTAAATGTTTTGATTTTCTGACAAAATGATTTTTTTATATATTTAGATACCTGTTACATATCCTATAACATCACCTGAAATTGCTTTACCAGAACTAGATGGTAAAACAGCAAAAATGTATAGAGGTGGAAAGATTTGTTTAACAGATCATTTTAAACCTTTATGGGCACGTAATATACCAAAATTTGGTATTGCACATGCTATGGCACTTGGTGTAAGTTTTTTTTATATATATAAATAAATTTTTAAATCATTATTTTTATTATATTTTTAGAAAATTCATATATTTTAGCTTGGACCATGGTTAGCAGTTGAAATTCCTGATCTTATAGAAAAAGGTGCTATAACTCATAAAGATAAAATTGATGAACATAAATTATAAAAAAAAGAAAAATTATATAATATAAATGAAAATTATTTGTTAATAATTTTGTTAATTAATGTAAATTACTTTTTAATTTGTTTTAATAAATTGTAAGAAGATTTATATAATAAATACATTAATTTTTATATTTAATATATAATACAAATATATTACAATAATTATTTATCTTCATCTATATTAATTTTTTTTGTTTCTTTTATAATTTCATCCAGTCTGTACAAATCTTTAAGAGAAATCTGTCCAGTACCTCTTTTCAGAGGCTTGGGTTGTGAAGGATCTGGTTTCCAACCTAATAAATAAATTACTTGAAATGTAGCAGGTACATATGAACTACCATCTTCTTTAATTTTTCCATATAATTCTTTATATATTGTTGCAGCAGCAAGAACAGTATCTTTATTTAAATGTAATTTTCGGTTTCTAATTGCATTATTTTCTGCCATACCTATGAAATTAAAAAATAACATTAAAAAAATTAATTAAATTAATTAAATAACATTTCAATAAATCAAAGTTATTATATAAAAATATTAAATATTACCTTTTAAATCCCACATTAATTCAAATATACTTGGATATCCAATAACAATTTCATCTACATCGATTGTTAACATAGTAAAATTAGCTCTTGTTAATAAATTTCCAATATCTTTAACATCTGCAAATGGAGAAATATGTGGTGAAATTCCACCATCTCTTTCTAATTCTGCTAATTGTAAAGAACTTCTGAAAAAAAGAATAAGTTATACTTGTATATTTAATATACTTATTTATTAAATTACCTTAATTCATATAATGTTTCTCCTCCAAACATAGCCCCTATAAAAACTCCATCATTTTTTAAACTTTTATTAATACTTTTAAAACAACCTGGTAAATCATTCACCCAGTGCAAACTTAATGAACTTATTACTAAATCTAAACTATTTGATTCAATTGAAAAATTTTCTTCATCCATAACTATCCGTGATACTTTAATTCCTTCAGTGGTTTCTGCTTGACGTATAAAGCTAGTTGACATATCAATTAAAATTAATTCTTCCACACGTTCAGCTAAAATATATTTTGACACATGACCACGACCACATCCTAAATCAAGCGCTTTTTTGAAATTCCTTTTTATATCAAATATTCTATCTGCAAGTCTATAACCTACTTCATCTTTGATATAATCGTATAGTTTTACATCAGCTATTTGTGCAGCACGTTCTCTTTGTAATAGTTTCGTATTTCTATCAAAAATGTTCATTACACTATCCGTTGGTAAAGAAAAATTTATTGCGCTATAATTTATATTCCGAATACGCAAAATTAATGGAAATACAGGCAAATACCTTTTGAACAAATAGTACATTTTATTGCTAGAAGTTTGACGTTTTTGTATTTTATCTCAAATATGTAAATTTTATAATATTTTATAAATATGCATTTTTTATTGAAATTTTGTTGTTTTCAATAATTTCAATAAATAAACTTATAAATATATTATTTAGTTATACATACATATTATTATACTATACATAACCTATTTTGAATTTTAATATTCTGAATACATCATTTATTTGTAATCATAATTTTAATCAAAATTGGTATCTCACAATTTTAATTTAACAAAATTTTATAAAATATATTACAAAAATTATCTATATAATTTTAATTTTGTTATTAAAAATCTCATAAAATAGATTATAAGATTTTATGAAATATATTATTTCTGTATCTATTAATTTAAAGTATTGTTTCAAAGTTTAAAATCATTAAAAAATTATAAAACTGATTTACAATATTTTTGGAAGAATGTAAATAATATTTATTCTATTAATTTTTTATATCGATTTTTTATTTTTAATATTATTTTCTTAATTAAATATTTATTATTAAAATGAAAAATTTAATAATAATATAGTTAATATAATTTTTAATATAATTTTTAAATTGCAGAAAAAAAAATTTTTAAAATACATTATTTTTTATTTCTTTTCTTTTTATTTTCTTTCATAATTAAATATTTATGTTAGTATTAATATAATATAATAACATAATTAATTAATAATGAACATTATATATATTTATTCATTTAATATTATATAATATTATAATCTATTATTAATATCTACTAAAATTATTTATAAAAATTTAAAATTTAGATATAAATTTCTGATATTTTTTATATATTATATAATTTAAAGTGTGCATGAAAACTAAATAAAATTTCTTAAACTTCATATAAATATTTATATAGCATTTTAAATTTCATATAATTTCACTATAATTTTTAATGCTATAATTAATATCATGATTTTGATAACAGATATAATAATATTTAGAAATAATATGCAACATTCCCCAAAACCAAGATTAAATAAAATGAAAATTGATAATAAATTTCATTTTTAATATCATATATAAATTTTATATATAAAATTATAAAATGTTTATTATTTATATATAAAGTATAAAAATTATTGTATTATTATTGTATAAATACAAATATTATGATATTAAAATGATCATATAAATAAAATTTTATTTTTTTAATAAATCTCTTTAAATCTTAAAAAATTTTATAAAATATAAAAAAAATTCAAATATATTTTAATAAATTTTCAAATATTGAATTAAATTATTTTGGTTTTGGAATAATATAATAAAATATGTTTAAGAATACTAGATTTCTGATTTAAGTAATAATTAACTATATTTACTATACTATATATATATATATATATATATATATATATATATATTAACTATATATAACTATTAACTATATTTAAGTATTCACTCAAATATATATTTGTTTAATTTAATACTTTGATATACAAGAATATTAAAAACAAATAAAGTTTATATATAAAAGATATAAATATTAATAATTATAATAATAATTAATAATTATAATAATTAATAATATATAATAAATATTAATAATTATATGTATTATAACATATTATAGCATGTATTGTAGCATACATAATATATGTATATGTTTGTATAAAATAAATTTAAGTTGCAAAATATAAATTAAAAATAACAAATTTTTTAGTTTTTATTTTTATATTAATTTAATTAATTTTTAATTTTTAATGAAGATAATAAAATTTATCATATATATATATATATTAAAATATATATATGAATATAATAAAAAATTATCAAATTTATGTGCAAATAATTAAAAAAAAATTTAAAAATATAGAAAAATGAATTGAAGTATATTTTTAACTTTGATTTTTATATTTTATCATTGTTCTCTTTTGTCATAAAAGTACATAAAAGTTACATAAAAGTTTTTTACAATTAAATGTGATAATCTTAATAACATAATTAAATATAAATATTAAAAATAATAAATGTCAATAATAAAAATTCATATATATTTCTTACTGTGCATGAAACCAAATGTATCACATCTTCACATATTCTGCCTTGTAACATGATAAAATTTACAAATAATAAATGTTTCTTATTCACGATCTTTGCAAAGATAAAACAAAAATTCTATAAAAATCAGTCCTAAATATTATTAAATAATTTGTACAAATATATAATCACAATGAAAACAAATATTAATATATTCTGATAATATATATATAATACTATTTCTGAAACCTATAAAATTATTCAAAACTTTTGCATATTCAGAAAAATATTAAAATTTTTAATATTTTTAAAAAAGAAATTAAATATGAAAGATACTGATACTAAGATAAATCTGTTATCTAATTCGTAGGTAATGAAATATATATAGCGAAATAATATGAAAGCAATTATAAGTTTTAAATACACTTAACATAACTATGAGACTTTGCATTCTAATATTCTTGTTCTCATTATTTAGAACTGCTATTAAATTGTAAAATAGAACAAATATTTTTCTATAATATTTTGACATGCTTCTCATTACGTTTTATCAACAATTTAAATGTAAAGTAATAATATTATAATTTCTACACATTATTTATATTCATATGCGTATGTATATAATAAATACATACACTATATATTGAATTCGTTATGATAACACATATTTTGAAAAATATTTCAAATAACCAATTAATTAAAAAATTAAATTTTTACAAAATACGAATAATATTAATAATATCGAAAGCTCAAAACCACATATGGTAAGAGTAACAAAGCCTCTTCTTTGCTTTTGACATTATTTGATGCATTAACATTAATTACTTTGGCCTCAAATTATTGATAGAGTTAGATAATGTAAAATGTGCTGACGTTGAAAGAGTTGTAGTACATGTAGGGATCGAAATTTCACCCATAGTTGTAGTATTTGTTTCACTTTTATAACGAATATTAGTATATTCTCGACCTAAATGAAGAGATTTCTGTAAAAATAATAGTAAATAAAATGTATATTAAAATATAATAAAATTTATATATAGAAATTATTAAAACTTTAAGATTTTCATAAAAATGTTAATTATAATGAATATAATTACTTGTTCTGCTTGCATTCGTTGAGATACAGTTTCAATATAATGTAATACAGCCAAATAAACAAATTTATATTGTGCTTCTGTTTGAACCATCCCTGATCTTTGTGAACGTACTCTTTGAATTGTTCTCTGAATATCAATTTCACAATCCAATCCTACAAATATAATAAAATCTTAAATATATTATTATTAAAACAATCATTTTAAATAAAAAATCAGTTATTAAAATATAATTACCATGACGCTTAATTTGATCAAGAATCATGTCGATAACAATAAATGTTCCAGTTCTACCAATTCCAGCACTACAGTGTACAAGAATTGGCCCTATACTTGTTACAGCTTGACCACTTGAAGCAAGAGAAGCAGCAATTGATTCTTGTCTCGCATTAACATCGTGAAGAAAATTTAATACACATCCGGGATCAGATGGAACACCATGATCAGGCCATGCCTAAGATATTCATATAATGTAATTGGTTTATTTTTTAAAACATAAAAAAATTATAAATAATAATAAGATACTTGAAAATGATAATGATAAATCCGTCTGGAATCTGCAAAACCTAATCTATTTCCATGTAATAAAAATTCTCGCAATGTATAATCTGCTGTTGAAGTACGAGATAAAGCTCGCACTTTCCATTCACCTCCATATTCTGTAACTTCACCTTCTTCTGGCCAATATCGAGCACATTTATTCTAAAAAATATAATTTTAAAATAAAATTTTAATTTAGATATAAGATTTATTAATAGCATACTTTTCCTCTTTCCATTTCTTTAGTAGTCATAACTATTACTCGTGTATTTTCTTGATATACCATATGCCAAAAGTCTTGAATTGTATTTGGAAGGCAACCTTGAGTTGCAATATAACATTTATTAAATGAACCTCCATCACTAGAAGTATTAATTCCAGTACTTTGTCCATCACCTTCTTCATTCTATAAATATATATATATATAAGTTTTAATATTTAATATATTTATGTACAAATTAATATATTCTATTAAAATATTAAATTTACCTTAATATAGTTAGCATTAATATAATCAGATCCAGGAATATTTGGATCAACATCTTTTAAACGCACTCTTGTATGATCAACTATAAAACAATTATTAAAATTTATGAATAAAGAAAATTAAAATAAAAAAATAAAAGAAAGATCTTACATGGTAAAATATTTTTATATCGATTTTTTGCTCGATTTTCGGGACGTAAACCTTCTTTTCTGGAAAATAGATGGCGACATTCCAATTGCTGCAATGATTCAAATTCTTCCCAAAATCCAGCTTTTCCTTTACCACGTCCTGTACCACATTCATTGCTACCTGTAGCTCCATTCCACAACCATCCATTTGAACAACCATTTTCTTTATGTAATTGTCTTACTCTACTTTCAATACCACTGGCATTTATTCGAGTAGCATTAAAAGGTTGTCTAGAAAATAATAAATATATTATGAAATATATGAAATATAATAAATATATTTTATGTATCAAATATAAATGTAATAAATATGAAATGTATCTTATAAATTAATAAATTTTTTTATATTCTTTACCGTAAATGAACAACACTTCCACTTGTTTCAACCATTGGATTACGTTTATAATGTTCTATTAGATCACTTAAACTATCAAATTTATCACCCCCTCCAACATCATATTTATTATCCTGTAATATTCATTATTTCCAATAATAAAATATAAAAGATTTTATTTTTTAATAAATATGATAATATTAAAAATAATAAACATATGTATAAAAGACAAAATATAATTAACCTGAGATCGTATTATAACATGTGTAACACGATCATCTGTGCGAACAGATAATACAAAGTCACCAGGTTTACTCTGGGATTCACGAACCAGAAAAGATCCATTTTTACCTCGCTCCAACATTAAACGTTCTGCTTCTTTAGCTGATAAATGGCCATGGAACCACCTTTACCCATATTTTACTATTAACACATACCATGCTATATGCGTGCATTTGAAATAATAATAACAAAAAAGTATTCCAATACATAACAAATTTTGTTGTAATGTTTATTATGCAAAATATTATACATATATTTTGTTTTAATCGAACAAATACCTTTCAGTAGTTGGATCAGCACAATTTAATGGATATTTTAGTTCAATAATTTCTCCATTCTTTTCACGTAATTGTCCTCCATTTTCCATATAAAATTGTACAAGTTCTGATAATGTTGCAAATTTTTCACCACCATAAAGATCATAAAAATCTCCTGTATTTTGTATTTTAATATGAGTCACTTCACCATTACGTCTGAAAATATAAAAATATCAAATATTTTGATTATAATAATTTTTTATATATCATGCATAATTATACAAACAAATACAATATGTTATGTATATACCTAACAGATAATGTAAAGTCACCAGGATTAGATGAACTTGGACGTGCCAAAAATGAACTATCATAACCCCGTTCCATTAATAAACGTTCTGCTTCTAAACCCGATATATTCGGATGGAACCATCTGTAATAAAAATATATAAATTTCTAGAATATAATTTTTTAAAAAATTTTAATAAAAAAGCAAACTATATTTCGATAAAACTTTATTTTAAAATATTTTATTTTGAAAAAATTTAATTTATTCAAATTACTTATTCTTACATTTAAACATAAAAATTGTCACAAATATAATTTTTATTATAATTAATAAAATTTACAAGTGTATATAACATAAAATACATTATATACATAACACAAAAGAAAAAAAATTGTTATAATAAAATAAAAATTTTTCTTACTTTCATTAAATATGAATTTATTCTATTGATTAATACAACAATTCAATCTTTATTTAATAATAATATTAACATGAATGAATTGTAAATATTATTAAATTTGTTATATATAATTATTTAAAAATTTTCTTTTTGTATTATCAAAACATGCAATACAAAGTAACTATATAAAGTAGAAATATATATGATCAATACATATATAAAGTGAAATTATTTTACATCCATTTTTGGACATGAAGAATTCTACTTTTTGAATTGATTTAAATGCATATACTTTACCTCTAAGTCTTTTTACTAATCCACGGTTAACACCAATAAATAAGTAGGCTTGTTCACAGATTGTCCGTGAATTGTGTTAATTACATATTTTTTTTATATAAAAACGTGCCTCACCTGCGAGATGCCATGTTGTGATTCCAACTATGACCAGCTAGTTATTAATAATTCATAATGTTTCATCGATGTTTGCACTTATAATATGCAATTATAATTACATTCAATTTAATGCTAACTATACATCGCCACAATCTTTGACATATTCACTTCACACAAAAACAAAAAAAATGGAAAACCCTAAAAGATTTTGTCATCGATCTGCAGTGCTTAGAATGGACACTTGTAAACTAAATGGAATGACAAAATTTAATATCGATTTCAAAAAATTATGTTGTAAATGAATAACTTCATTCTTACTTATAATAAATATTAAATCGTTTTAAAATTATATTATAATTGCAAATTAAGAAATTAAATCAATTTATAATTCCCCAGAATAACATATGTTATTAAATTAGTTTATAAAAAATCAATATATATAAAACCAATAACAATATCTTTAATTTAAATATTAATAAATAAAATATATAAATGTTTTGTTATATATTTATAAAAAAAATTCTATATTTTAATGATTTAAGAATATAAGAACTATCTATATGTTTATAATGTGTAGTACTTTTTTTTTTTATATTAACTTTAACTTTTTACTATTTATTTCAATATTTTCAATATTGCAAAATTAATATTAATAAAATAAATTTTATTTTATAACTAACTAAAAGAATACATATTTTTCACATATTATCTATTTTGATTAGAAATATATGGTGAAATTATGATCGATTTAAAAAAAGATAAGTAAAATAATTTAAAATAAGACAAAAACAAATTTATAGTCAAATAAGATAAGAATTATATTAAAACAAATAATTATTTGTATTTTATATTTTTTGTTTAATATTAAGAAATAATAATATAATTTTATTAGAAGACGTCTTATTATTGTGAACACTATAAAATAGGTTTATTGTTAATAAATCATTTCACTTACACGTTGATTTTCTTACTTATGATAGATTGCGCTGTAATCAGTACTTAAATGATTAATACAGTTGATTGTCGATAACGCCGGCTATGAAAAGCCGTACATTTTGTATATTTCTTGAAGTATACATTTAAATCTCATATGTAAATTGAGTAAAAATTATTAATAATTTAATTGGTAAAAGTAATTAAACTTTTTTTATTTGAAGATGGGCCAACATGTTTCAAGAAATGATTTCGAGTGGGTTTATACAGAAGAACCACATGCTTCACGACGTAAAATAATTTTAGGTATGAATATAAAATATATGATAAATATTTTAAATTTAATTTGAAAATAAAAATTCGATTAATTAACTATATTGAATAAAATTAATAAATATTAAAGTTTAAGAATTCAGATATAATTACAAATTTATATATATTTATCTAAAATTTATTTTAATAATTTTATAATATTAAAAAATTTTGTTTCTTTTTCAGAAAAATATCCACAAATAAAAAAATTATTTGGATATGATCCATATTTTAAATGGGTAGTAACAGGAATGGTTTTAATTCAATTCATCTCTATGTTCTTTATAAAAGATTTAAGTTATCCAATGCTGTTTTTTTTAGCATATTGTTTTGGAGGTGTAATTAATCATTCTCTTATGTTAGGTATGTAAAAAATATTTTTTAATCATTTATATTAATTTATATGAAATATTAAATATGTATTATGATACAATACAATAATTAAATATAATACAATATTATAAAAGATGCAATTATAATTACATTATTATAAAAGATAACCTTAGATTATCTTATATCAGTTTTCATCAAGCATTTTTTGATTATAATGTTATTTCAAGAGTAATGATTCATTAAATCTTATCTAATAGATTATATTGTTATAATATATAAATTAATGAGTTTTCTTATTTCTATAAATATATAATATACTTATGTATTTTATTTTTTAACATTTTACTTATGATGATTATATTTATTATATTATATTTGATTAAATATATTATTTAATTTTATTATATATATTATATTATTATATATATTTTTCTATCATTCTGTTTTTAGCAATACATGAAATAGCACATAATCTTGCTTTTGGACATAGTAGACCTAAAGCTAATAGATTATTTGGATATTTTGCTAATTTACCTATAGGTATACCAGTATCTGTTAGTTTTAAAAAATATCATCTTATACATCATCGCGTAAGTACAAATAAAATATTTAATTAAAAATAAATTAAATAAAATAATATTTTAAATAAATATAGATATATTTAATATATTTTATTCTATTATTATATATTTATTATATTTATATTTGTATTTATTTTAAAAAATAAATTACAGTATCAAGGTGATGAAAAATTAGATACAGATTTGCCAACATTATTAGAAGCAAAATTATTTTGCACTACATTTGGAAAATTTTGTTGGTTATGTCTACAACCATTTTTTTATGCATTTAGACCTCTTATTGTTTATCCAATGGCACCTACATTAATGGAATATATAAATTTTATAATACAATTTACTTTTGATGGATTGATATGGTATTTTTTAGGTAAATATTGATAATACTATCATGTTATATTATGTTATGTGAATATATTTTATTATTTATTATTAGGTGGAAAAGTTTTAGTTTATTTACTTTCTGGATCAGCAATGGCAATGGGTTTGCATCCTGTAGCTGGACATTTTATATCAGAACATTATATGTACAGAAAAGGTTTTGAAACATATAGTTATTATGGTCCATTAAATTGGATTACATTTAATGTTGGATATCATAATGAACATCATGATTTTCCTGCTGTTCCTGGTTCAAGACTACCAGAAGTAATTTAAAAAAATTAATAACAAGAATTATTTCTATTTTTTTAAAAATATTTTATCTTTTATAGGTAAAACGAATAGCTTCTGAATTTTATGATAATTTACCACAACACAACTCTTGGGTTTCTGTTTTATATGATTTTGTTATGGATCCTGATATAGGTCCATATGCAAGGATAAAGCGAAAACATAAAGGACTTGCTTCATAAAATTGAAATTTTTTTTAATTTTTTAATAAATAATTTTGAGATTAGCATCTGAAACTTAATACTGCATGCACATTTAAAGGAAATAATATTATTGTTAATTTATTGTTATATATATTCAGTATTAAAAAAAAATGCATACATTCTATGCAATAGTAAAATATTTTAGTAAGATTATTAATAATCAAATATTATTATATAAATTATTAACATTTTTTAGTTTTGGTATATTTGAAAATATTTATAAAATTATATAATGAAATAAGTGAAAGATGCTAAATTAACTATTTTTTATTTCATAGTGTTTGTAAATAATTGTAATAAAATGTAATAAAGAATACTGAGTTTCTATATGTATAATGATAAGTGCTATAAATATAAAATTTCATAATTTTGTAATCTAGTCATAATAAAATAAGTTTTTTCTTATAAACAATAATGCTTTATTTGTATAAAAATATAATAGAAAAGATTAGATTAATAAAATAGATTAAGAATTCTTACATTAAAATTTTATATGATAAATATTAATTATTATTTATTAATTAAAGCTTTTTTAGTCGTACTTTTTTTTAATATTAATATATTGTCTTAATTGATTTTAGAATTTAAAATTATTCGATAATATTTTATTTTAATCCAATTTTCAATTTACCAACTTTATCTATCTTAAAATTCCTATTCAATATTAATAGCAATTCACATCTATTTTTCTATAAAATATAAAATATATTTTTATTTATATAAATACATTATTTAATATATTGATTATATATGATACATAATTAGATAAAAATTTATATAATCTTAAAAATTTAATATCTTAAGTTTTATATTAATAACAAAAACTATAATATCAATTTTATCATATAATTAATATTTATTAAAAATATATTAATCAAGATTATTCATATACATTAATAATTTTTTCGAAACCATAAACTGATGAGAATTAATAAAATTATATTTTGTAAGAATTTTATTACAATAAAATTATAAAACAAATTTGTTTAAAAAACCATATAATTTGTTAAAACAAAGATGCCTGCCTGTATCTGTTTTATCTAGAAATGGTATGAATAGTAAAAGTAAAATACTATTTCTGATTAAAAAAATAATTTATATTTTGTATATCTTAATAAATATTGGTATTTTAAATGTTAATAGCAAAAGAAAAGTAATTAAAAGGAGATAATTTTCTACAATTTATCGAAATATGATTTCATGTAATAAAGATATTTTCGATTGCGTGTGTACGCTTTATGTAAAGTGTCTGCAATGGTGCATCGGTTTGATAATGGTAAAAATAATGTTTACATGAATGATATAATTAGGCACATATGTATATCTATAATACAGTGAATAGAATGGGAAAACAAAACGGATCTTGTTGGTGGTTTGTGAAAGCCGTAAAATGGATACCAGTTATTTTCATTTTGACAATTGTCTTATGGTCCTATTATGCTTATGTAGTGCAGTTATGTTTTTGTAAGTATTTACATTCATTCAATTTTTAATAATAAAGATCTTATAATAAAAATGAAATTTAAGTCATATTTATATGTTTTTATATATATAAATTATATATATATTATATATATATATATATTTATATATTCAATAAATTTGTATTTTAATAAGTTTTTATCTTAATTATGTCTAGTAATTTGCTTTTTTTTATTTTAGATACTGTAGATAATTATGTTCAAAAAGGTTTGTATAATTATTAATAGAATATTCTTTTAATAAAAATAATAATTTTATTAATAATTTACTAATTTTGTTAACAGCTTTTTATTTATTTTTTTATCATATCCTGTTTCTATTATTTTTATGGTCTTATTGGCAGACTGTATTTACAGATTTGATAGAAGTACCATACAAGGTAAAATTTAATTTATATAATTAGTACAATATAAGTATAATATATAAGATATTCATAAAATGATTTTTTGTGTAGTTTAAAATTCCAGATGTAGAAATGGAAAAATTTCAACAAGCTGAAACGGAAGAAGCACAAAGACAAATCTTAGAGAGATTTGCACAAAGTCTTCCAGTCACAAATCGCACTATAAAAGGAGGTATAAATATTGTTTCTTATTATTTATGTCAGAGAAATATATGTGTTATATATAATATATTTTTTCTAGTAATTCGTTTTTGTGAGAAATGTCAATTAATTAAACCAGATCGAGCACACCATTGTAGTGTATGTAGTACATGTGTTTTAAAAATGGATCATCATTGTCCATGGGTGAATAACTGTATAGGATTTCACAATTATAAATTCTTCATGTTGTTTTTGGCATATGCTCTTCTTTATTGTATATTTATTACTGCTACATCTTTACAATATCTTATACGTTTTTGGAAAGTAAGTATAATCTTTTTAAATATTTTAAAAATTATCTATTACATATAATAGATTTTTTTATAATATATTTATATATATTTATAATATATTTATATATAATATATATATTTTTTATAATATATATATTATATATATTATAAATTAACAATTTATTACATATATAAATTATATATATAAATTATATAATAAATATAATAAAAATATTTATTTTTTTATATTTTAAATATTATTGAAATTTTTATAAATAATTATATAATATATATAATTTAATATATATTAAAATTAAGTAATATATTGCTATTTTATATATTTTATAATATAATTATTTATTTTACAGGGGGAATTAGATGGAATGGGTAGATTTCATCTACTTTTTTTATTCTTTGTTGCATTGATGTTTGCAGTTAGTTTAAATTCTCTTTTTTTTTATCATTGCTATCTTGTTTTACATAATAGGTCTACATTAGGTAATTAAAAGCATGTTACATAAAAATTATTCCATATTTTATAAAACAATATATATTATATTTTATATATGAATCATTTGTAGAAGCATTTACACCACCTATGTTCCGTACAGGAAAGGATAAAGATGGTTTTAGTCTTGGAAAGTATAATAATTTCCAAGAAGTATTTGGTGATAATCCTAAACTATGGTTCCTTCCTATTTTTACTAGGTAAGTTTAACAGTATTTAATAATTCATATTTTTGTAATGTAATATATTTTTATTTTGATGGCATAATAATAATAATAAAACTGCGAACCACTTGCACAATATATAATTCTAATTATTAGTAAAATTATTGAAATTATGTAATAATTATGAAAAGAGCACATGTATACTAATCTGTAAATACACATAATGTACTTATTTGTAAGTATGTATGTGTATATGTATATATGTATATACATTATGATATTATAAATTGATGAATATTAATATCATATTAGAAAATTTAATTTTTTCTATAATTAAATGTAATTATAAGAAATATTTAGAATTATTATAAAAAATTTCCATCTATAGCTTTATCTATTGTATTTTAAGTTCTTCATTAAGTAAACATAATAGTATAGTTTCACAAAAAACTAAATTATTATATCTCAGATAAAAGTGAAGAAAATGGTAAAAAGTATGAAATATATATATAACAAATTATATAAACTGCCTTAAAAATCAAAATTATATAAAAATATACAAAATTATATTATATAAAAATTAATAAAATATAACTAATTATATAAAAATTAATTTTTCATTGCATGTAACTAATATTAAAAAAATATCAACATATTCTAATTTTTATTAATATACAAATTATTATACAAATTATATAATAAATATTTATTAATAATATATATTAAATTTTATTACTATTTATTCTCTTAACATAAATATCTCAATTTTATTAATTCATATTTTTCATAAATAAGTACAATTGTAAATAATAATAGCATTACGGTTAAAACGCGATGGATCCGTTAAATGTGTTTTAGTCTTGGAAATGGTGTCACCTATCCAGTACGTGCGCAACATCAAGGCACATCGAATACTTATGACTCCATGGGAAGTACCCGAAACAGGTCAGCATTATAGAAATTTATAGTGCCAATGTAATAGTTATATATAAATTTTACTATGGAACTCCTTAATGTTGATTAAAAGGCAGTTGATATTAAAATAAATAACATATTGTTACATTTAAAAGATGTCTAAATATTTTTTAAAACAAAGAAATTAAAACATTTTCTTCATGTCTTTTAATAGATTCATGCATTTATTTTTTTTTTTAGAAAACCATTTTCTTTCATTTATTATTTATTTGATATAGAGTTCCAGAGTAACAAAGTTACATACATATATACACGCGTGCGTGTGTGTATGTGTATATATACATATATATTTGCTTTATGAATGCATGCAACTATTTATTTTATTTGTGCTTTTATTCTATTATAAAAGCCAATGTTATATTTACAAATGTGATTGAATTATTAACATTAAAAATAATATAATATTAATGAAATTACAATTTTAATATTATAGCTATATGTTTTTAATACTTTTTATTAACTGTTAATTTATGAGATGTGTGTTTTGTGATTTGTTGAAACGTGTTTTGCAAAAATTATGAATTCTAATTAATACAATATTAATTTTTTATGATATATCAAAAAATATAATTTTTATCATTATATTTATGAATATCGTTTTATTTTTTTATAATAAAATGATAACAATTGTATTAAAATTTATAATATTTATATGCCTACAGTGAGATCAAATTTGCATCTTGAATTTAACTGAAGATAATTGAGATGGACTTTAAAATAGGTATTATTTTTATTTTGAATGCATATTATTTGTAGATGCATTATATTGTATGTTAATAAAAATTATTGTTACTTAATTTTCTTATTATTATAAAAAATATTGTGCATCTGGTTCTTGCAGATTGATATTTGATTTATTTGATTATTAGAAGTAGTGTAACTATATTTCATATTACTTTTATTTTATATTTTTTTATATTAATAAAATAATAAAAAAGACAACAAATAATAAATTAAAAGTAAATATAAGAAAAGAAGAATGAAAAATATATTGAAAATTAAAATTTACATAAAATTTTAAAATATTTCATTTTACAATTAGTCAATACCCCTTATAATTTTTATATTTGTCAAAAATTAATAGATACGCTACTTCTAAAAATAATATAGGATTACATGAAGTAGAAGGTAGAGTGTGGGTTACAGTTTTGGCGATGGGATAAACTTTCCTGAACGGCTGTGCAATGAAGATACACATACTTTGTTGGGACATACTACCCAACAATGGGGTGATGAGACTGAACTTGACTCTCCACCTCCTTATGGGTCACAATCAGGTATTGTGTAGCCTGTGAATCCCTATTTTGAGACAGTGCATTAATTTATATGCATTGTCTAAATAAATATTTTTAGTACAAAACTCATAGTCAGAAGTATTCTGCAATCATCTAAATAATTTTTTATATATTATTATTGGACCACAGTTTTAATTTTTTTTTATAAATAAGAAATAATTTAATATCATTGTCTTATGAAAAAAAAGATATAACATTCAGGGTATTAATTGTATTTATTGTAGACTCTTTATTTTTATCAAAATATTATTATAAAAGAATAAATAATTTAAAAAAATAGTTTAAAAAATCTTAAAGTTTAATTTTTTTTTTTTATTAGTATTAAACTATCATAAAAATGTCATTAATAAAGAGTTTATTAGGAGCTTATATTATATAAATATACAAAAACAAATATATGGTAAATATTACAAATTTTTATAATGACTAGTACAAATATATAATTTGTACAATAAGTAAAACAAGAAATTATGACTAAAAAGATAATAAAAATTATATAAATTGTTATATTAATTTCATGTTATTATATTCATTATTTAAGCATTTATTAATATATAAGATATAAGATATGTATAAAATATTATTAATGAAAAATGTACGTATATAAATTTCACTGTCTATTATTAATCAAAAATGTTGTAAGAAAAAAGAGCAAAATAAATTGATAAAGTTGAAATAAAATTTCAATATATTAATTTATAAAACTATTTTTATATTTAACTTCAATTTGTATATTCTTTAATTTTTATTTCATTTTAACATTAATTAATATATATGAATGCATAATTATTTTATATATATGCCATATATATAATTAATTTATAAAAATTTATTATATAACATAAATAATTATTTGAATTATATATATATATATATTAAATTTTTATATATAAATTTTAAAAGTTTTATTTTTATAATTATAATTATTATTATTATAGTTTTATTATTATAATTATATGTTATTGTATATTATTATATTATGTATTATATTATGTATTTTTAAAACTATATTAACTTTGCTTGCTTATTGTAGCTTATTAAATAATATATTAATTTTTTTTAAATGCATGTCATTAATGTGTTATATGCGTTATATAATTAATATATATCATATTTTAAAATGAAATTACAATTTTTTACTCAGATTTAAATATAATAATTTAATTTAATAAAAATTTAATTTTATTAATCACGTGCATATTCTTTATTATATATTTATATATATGATATTGATATGATTATTTATATTGATATGAATTTAATATAGTGAATGTTAAGTTGTTAACTACAGATCTACCAGGTCTGATATTGACATTATATTGATTCACTTTAATAGAAGAAACTAATGTTTTTGGCACTTAATTGGGTAATATTAAATTGTTTAATCCAAAGTATATTCAAATTTAATTCTTTATATTGGTAAATATTTATTCAATAAAACGAAATATAAATGTTTGAAAGTTTACTATATAAAATAAAAAATATCATTTTTATTAAATAATAATTTTTAAAAAAGTTTTATATTTTAATATTTACATTTTTATTATTACAATTGAATTTGTAACATAAATAATATCTAATATTTTTTTAATAAATTGTATTACAAAATATAAATTGTATTAAAAAATGTAAATTATTTATTTATTTGATTTAAAATTAATGTATAGCCAAATTGAGTTTTGTATTATTGCATGTTTAAGATCTTTTATTTCAAATTATAAATATTATAAATATTAATGCTTATTTTAGTAAAAATGCAATTTGAGATATTAATGATTCTTTGATGGTATTATGTATTATAGCTTTTGACATTGATATTGTATTTTTATAATCTAATAATTGTTGATATAATTTAATTATAAAATAATTTTTTTAAATTAATCTGTACATATATGATTATGGTATATTAAATATTTTTTAAATATTTTACAGCACTACTCTGATAGGCCATATAATGGATGCCAATCAACCATTGGTGAATACAACTGAAATTGTTTGAGATAACATTTTAAAATTTATTTATTTTTATTATAAGAAATTTTTTTGCTAAATAATAGAATTTGATTTAAAAATTTTTATATAAATCCTTTGCACTTGCTATTTTTTTTTTCTTTTAATTAAAAAGTCACCTTTGAAAAAAAATTTAAATATAATATTTTATTGATTTTTTACTTGCAAGTTAAATACTTTTTAATAATTTTTTCTAATTGTAAATATATTTATATTAGTTATTTGGCTCATTTCCTAATTCTTTTATTATAATAATTTGATATACAAATGTAAAGGATTAATATTTAGGTTATATTTAATATCGTATATTATTTCATAGTTCTTATATACAGAACTTTCATAATTCTATTACACATATTATAAAAATTAATAACAGAAACTAGAATATAATATAATCCGAAAAAAATTTTCAAAATTTTACATATGCAATATTATTATTGATATATATAGTTATTATTGAGTATATATGTAAGTATAATTATAATTTATAATACCAAGTTAGTTATTAAATTAATTATTTTATTAGGATATAAAAAATAGAGAAATGATTTGATGAGATCTAAATATTTATAATTAAAATATTGTTATTAATTATAAATAATGATTTTATAAAGAAAATATGAATTAAAGGTACTACAAAGTAATAAAATTATTATTGTTGTTAAATAAGAATATTTAAGAATATTTTAATATAATTGCCAAAAAATAAAATATTAAAATAATTTTATCTATATTTGATATGTATAGAATATCAAATATATAGAATATATCAAATATAGATAAAATTGTTTTAATATTTTATTTTCATTTACATATATGTTAAAAATATTACCAAAAACTGATACAATAATTTACTTTAAATATCATGCATATAATTATAAAAATATTTTTTATAATCAACAAATTATGTATGTTTTCTAAAAAAAAGTCTTATTTTTATATTTTTTATATTATACTTCATTTTTTTTATTAAACTACAAAGTATTATTTATAAAAATAACTGTGACAACATTGATTAAATATTTTTGTTTAAATTTATTAAATAATAATTAAAAATTAAATAATTAATATTACTAATAAAAAGTTAATTAATATATAATGTTAAAAATGATAATTATATTCAATTTAATTATAAATAATAATTGTAAAAAAATAATGTGTAAAGAAATTTAAAAAATTCTTTTTTAACACATTTATTTACTTTTAAATTTTTTATATATATATAGTAAATATAATATATATATGGTATAATATAAATTTAAATTATGAGAAACAAAAAATTGTAATATAAAATATATGTAATTATTATGAAAAATATAGATATTTATCATTTCCATATAATAATAAGAAATAAAAATTTTCAATATATATTTTTAAAATGAATATTATAATTTATAACCATATCTTTGTATCCAATTTAATCCATTTATTGAAGATGACATTGGATAATATTCTAAACCAATATATTCATTATATCCCTCTGTTTCTAGAAGTGAAAGAACATATTTGTAATCTATTTCTCCAGAAGTATCAGGTTCATGTCTATCTGGTACTTGAGCAATTTGTATATGACCTATAAATTAAAAGAAATATATATTTTATTTGATGTATTTAAATTAAATTATATACCTATATATGGTAAAAGTTCCTTGATGTTTTTTGTAATATTGCCACAAATGTGTTGTAAATGGAAAATATCAAGTTGTAATTTTAAATTTGATTTATTTATTTTCTTTATCACATCTAAGCCTAAATAAAAAATAACATATAATAAAGATGATAATTTTTTATTAAAATAAAAATATATTTTGCATGATTACCCTTTTGAAAACTATTCATATAATAATTTGGCACAGTAATATTATTAATAGGTTCTATAAGTGCAATTATTCCCTCTTTTTGAAATTTCTCTACTGCATATAAAAGATTTTTTATATAAATATCATCATTAATACTTGTTATTTGATTTACTTTGCCTGACATTACATGAATTCTGAAAAAAATAATGCAAAAAATAAATCTAAATATTGATTTTTAAAAAAATATTCATTAATTTATCAAATTAAATTTCTTTTACCGTTTACAATTTAAAGCATTTGCATATTCTATTGTTAAATCAATACTTTTTTTGAAGTTTTCTTCTTCTCCAGGTATTGCTGCAAATCCTAACTCTCCTTTAGAAACATCACCTATTTCCAAAATTATATTATAATAATTATTATAATTATTATTAAATTAATCATTATATATAATACTTTATACAAATTATAATTTTTTAAAATTAATAATAATAATAATAATTTTTTAATTTTTTATAAATTAACCTGTAAACACATTTATAAGAACTTGTTCAATATCTGCATTTTTTTTGGCTTTTGATACATCTTCAATAGAAAAACCAAAAGGAAATCCACTTTCTACTGCTTTAAAACCAGCTTCTTTTGCCAATTTATATCTATCAATGATAGATGGTGCCTCAATGAACATAAAAGATAAATTGGAAGCAAATTTTAAATTCATACTGTTCATTTTTCTTTTACAAATGAATATTTCACTATAACTATTATATCTAATATTATATATAATATATATTGATAAAAAAAGCACTTACAATATTATATAACTTTACTTATCTTTATATGATGGAACAAATGTGATACATAGCACACAGCAATAGTCAAGATTTTATCTATAATGTTTTTTTATTATCAAGTTATAGTTCATATGTATTTAACCTTTATTTAAATTTAATTGTATTATATGTAAATTTAATAGTAAATTATATACATTTAAATTAAATTTAAATATGTATATTTAATGAAAAATTTTATACTTTATTTCACAAGATAATTTATTAATAAATATTATTAAAATATATTTTATTATTATTGCATTAATTATTTAATTAATTAACATTTTATTAATTAACATTTAATTAATTATAATGTTAATCTTTATAATGTTACAATTTTAAATTTAAACAATTTTATAAGTTTAAATAATAACTTAAATAACTAATAAAAAATTTTTTAAAATGTTACTTGTTTTTAATAAAATAAGAAAAATTGAACAAACAATTAAAATAAAAATATATTTAATTTGTATATAACTAGTTTGAGGGAAAATATAAAACATTTTAATTTTTATATATGTTTTTTTCATTAAAAAGAGTGTGAATAAATGTATTAATGTTTTCTTTACAAATATTTTTGTTTAACATGAAATTTAATGTAAAGCCAATTTAATGTAATATTACAAAATAAATATAAGAATTAATGAATAATTAAATGTTTTATATGTATACATTGAAATATATTTGTATATATGAAATGTTTTATATATTACTCGTCGTCATCACGAACACCACCACCTGGTACTTTTGGTCCTCCTGCACGTTTTGCCATAATAATCTGATTAACTTTAAGTACAGTGCAAGCAACACCAACAGCATATTTTAAACCCCATAGTTTTGTTAAGAATAAATCTAAAATTTCACTTTCAACTGTATCGATAAGACCTCCTTTTTGCTATAAAAAAAATATATATATATATTTTATTATAGATTAATTATAAAATTTAATAAAAAATTTAAACAAATGCGTACATCAATATTAAAACCATAATTTTTTTTGCCTTCTTTATGTGCAGAATAAAGTTTGGATAAAAGTTCTGAAGCATAACTTCCACTATTTTCTGCTAAGGTTTTTGGAAAAACTTCTAGAGCTGTTGCAAATCTGCGTACTGCATATTGTTCTAAACCTGGTAAAGTATCTGCATAAGTACTAAGCTGTGAAGCAAGTTCAATTTCCGTAGCACCCGCTCCAGGAACAAATCTTCCATCTCTTGTTATTCCTTTAAATGTATTAACTCCATCGTCAATAGCCCGTTCAATATCATCCATATAATTTTCTGTAGATCCTCGAACAATTATAGTGCTAACACGACTATCTTTACCACTTATTGCAAACTTTACTACTATAGTATCACCAACTTCATCAATATATACTGAATCTGCATATCCCAGTTCTTCTTTTGATGGTGGAGCCTAAAAACAAAAATAATTAATTAGATCTTTATAGTATATTAAAAAATAAATGATTGAAAAATAAAATTATTTTTCTTAACTAGTTTTGAAAGTGCAGTAGCACCAACAGTTTTACATAATCTCCTAATATCAAACTTGCTAGGTATACGAACAGCCATTAAATTATATTTATTCATATAATGTAAAGCCATATCTCCAAACTTTCCTCCTGAAACAATCACACTAGCTCCACTATCAGCAATTGCTTTTATTTGAGATTCTAATAAGGATTCCTCTCCTCTAGAGAATTTCATTAATTCATCTGCTGTCTTTATTAATACTGTTCCCTTTGTTTCAGTTTGTATGATATCTACAGCACAAGTATAGACTGCAATTTTGCTATTATCTTTTCTTGTAACATCTCCTTCAACTTGTCTCTTAAATACCATTCCCTGTACAACTTCAGAACTGGATATACCACTACCAAGTATTTTACAAACACGTACATTATCTACATTAAAAGTACTCTTTTTTGGTAAAATAGAAATACAAGCTTGCGCAACAAGAGAAGTAAGTGGTTCTTCATTTCCATATTGTTTACTCATAATAGCTGTTTTAATTCCCATTTTTATTTGTTTTTCATCTCTATAATCTTTTATTTCATAACAAACTAATGTTGGTAATATCTGTAAAACTTTCTCTAACGAAGCTTCATATCCTTCAACTATTTCAGATGTAGTAATTCCCTGATATAAAAATATTGATATAAAAAAATGTTTATATTATTAATATATATTTCTAATTTATAATATACGATTATAATTATAAATATAAAATAAATTATAATCAAATAATATTAATTATTCTAAAAATTTACCAAACGAAGTAATTCTTCTGCAGCTTCAAGAAGTGCACCAGCAAAAATTATTACAAAATTAGTGCCATCACCAACTTCTGCTTCTTGCATTTTTGATGCAAGAACTATCAATTTAGCAGCTGGATGTTCAACTTCTAATTCATTAATAATTGTAGCAGCATCATTAGTGATAAACAATTTTTCAATATGATTAATTATCATTTTATTCATGCCATTTGGGCCATAAGCAGTCCTAACAGTTTGTGCAAATTGCTTACATGCTGATATATTTCCATATACTGCTTCTTCTAAACCTGAGAAATACTGATTGAAAGAGAAAATAATATATATGTTATTAAATGTATAAAATATATTTTATTTTTTAAATTATATATTATTTTTTATTAATTAAAGTAATTACATGTTTTGTAATTTTTTTTATAAGTTTATTACTATTATCTAAAAATTACATATAATTAAAAATTAAAATTTATTAAATATAATTTTATAATTAACGATATAAATTATTGATAAATAACATATTTTAAATTATAGTTTTTTCATTTATAATGACAATTCAATCAATTTCTCTAATTTCAATAATATTAATATTTCAATAAATATTAAATAATAATTGAATATCTCATATTTTTTTTAATTAATAAAATTATTACTGTCATATAAGAAAATCTATTAATATTAATAATTTGTAAAATTTTATTGTATATGTATATAGATAATATTAATTTAATTGTAAAAAAATATTGATAAATATAAAATAATATAAAAATGAAAAGAATTTAAAAATTTTTTGGATTTTAAACAGAGTATAAAAAATATATGCTTTAAATAAATATCCATTCATAAAATATAATGTTTGATGTTGAACTTTGTGTCATATTTCATTTGACAAATATCTTTTAATCATAATTTAGCTTATAATATATAAATAAATATTCAAAAAACATTTTGTGCTTACACGAGCTCCTTCTTTAAGCATTTGGGCCATGCCCGGTGCCTTTGGTACATGAAAAGCCATGATTTTTTATAAAAATCAGATCTTTACGCCTCGTGTGTATTTTAAGATTAATAGACAACTTTTCGTCAAAAATAATGAACAATCCAGATGTTTTTCCATGATTGCGATTACAGCGACATCACTCTTTAATAATTCTAATCTTAAAATTATAAAAGTTTTTATAATGTCTTTTATTAAATTAAATATTTAATAAAATAATAAAAAAATCATTATTTATTTAAATTTAAAAAAATATTTATGTAAATTTTATATTATTATAATAATTCTGATTATCAAAATTAGTCTTTATGAAAACGATCCTTAAGGGATAGGCTTGAAGTATAAAACTGATAAAATTTCGTGGTATGTAGCAAAAGTATAATAATAATTTAAGTATCGTTAAGTGTTCCATTTTTTCGGAATTTATTATTAAAAATTGGTAAATTAAATTTTATAAAAATTATAAATGAATAATCAAAAGAAATTTAAAAAATATTTTTGTATATTTTAGTATTTCAAAAAATTTTGTTGCCTTTATCTGTTATGGATATGGTGACCACGAATTTACAACAACAACGACAAATCACGGAGCAGCTACGTCGTGAAGCTGCTTTAAAACGAATTACGGTTAGCAAAGCTGTTGAAGATATCATGAAATATATCACAGAACACGAACAGGAAGATTATCTTTTGGTTGGTTTTTCATCACAGAAATCAAATCCCTTTCGTGAAAGAAGTTACTGTACCATTTTTTAAACTTGCATGTTTAAAATAAAAAACCAAATTATTTTAATTTTTTTCATTAAATATTCAAATTTTAATGTTTAAATTAATATTATTATTGTAATATCATTTATATTATGAATATTCAATATACATTTATCAATTTAATTTAATTCAAATCATCATTATTTTATTTTTTTTATATATAAAAAATATATTTTAATATTTATTTTATATAAAAATTAGATGAGAATTATTCAAAATTTATTTTTGAAGAATCTCATTATTATAATTTAATGTTTCATTATTATAACTTTATTGGCCTATAAATATATCATAAAATGCGCACATACAAGTGATTTTTAACTTAATGTATCAATATTATATTATATATATCATATATATACGAAAATAAAATGTTATTTTGTACAATGTTGATCTTATAAAATATAATATTTTTTAAATGATATTATGGGAACATTATTCAATGAAAGAAACATAATCTATTTTTCATTCACTACAATTAAAATTGAAATTGAATATTTCAAATATCTATATCTATTTATATCTAATGTAATTTATACAATTTATTTTGCTATATATGCTTAAATAAAAATGCATTTATAAAATTTAAATTGTAATATAAAATAAAAATATGTGACAAAAAGTACAAATTTTAGTTTTTATTTTATAAATTTTATTTTAATTAATTAAGATTTATTTATTTTTTGATCTTAATAAACAATATATATGACTATTGTAACATATTAGAAAAGTTATCAGTTGTATGTGGATTTGAAAATTATTTTTTTTTTTAGAAACAATGTTAAAAGTTTAACAGTTAAAAATGATAATAATATAATATTTATAAAATATTTTCATAAAAAAAATTGTAAATTGGGAATTCTAATTTTGATATTTGATTTTAATAAAAGAAAAATTATAAGTATAACCTAGAATTGTATATTTATTTTGACACATTGTCTGAATCATTATAAATAATTGATTAAAACATTATTAAAAAAAATTTTATTATTATTAAATATGCAATAGAAGGATTTATTATACAAATATTTTCTATTTGTCTCTTATAATTATTCAGGTAATTATTTAAATAATTAATTTATTCATTTAAACAATAAAAAACATGTTAAATATATTATTTTATTTATAGATATCAAAAATGTTTTCAATTAATTTAGTAGTTTTGGATAGTTATCAATCAACTCCACTATCAGAATTAGATGTAACATTTTCAGATTTTCGAGGAAATGAAATTAAACAAGTCCCAATTATCAGAATATTTGGATCTACTTTATCTGGTATATCATAATTTATTTATGAAAATATTTAATTATTTGTTTTTATAACATTATTTATTAATTATGTTAAGGAATAAAAACATGTTTACATGTACATGGAGTATTTCCATATATATATATACCATGTACAATAAATAACAATGTTGATAGCTTTATGTATAAATTAGCAGCAGGAATAGATTCTGCAATAAATGTATCTTTGGGATCTGCAATGTCTAATATTCAACATGTTTATAAAATTCAACAAGTTTATGGAATGTAAGAATATTAAATATTATAAATAATTATTATTAATTATAAATATATTAATATATATTATTAAATATAATGAACTAAAATATTTATTCTAATACTTACAATAATTAAAATATTTTAGTCCTCTTTATGGATATCATGAGAAGAAACATTTATTTTTTAAAATTTATTTTTATAATCCAGCTATGGTTAAACGAGCAGCTGATTTACTGCAAGTATATAATATTTATATTTATAATTATTTTTCTCTTTTTATTAAACAATGTAAAATTAATGTTAAATATTCTGTTTCGTTCTAGAATGGTATGGTACTTAATCAAAGTTTACAACCACATGAAGCACATATACCTTTTATTTTACAATTTATGATTGATTATAATCTTTATGGTATGAGTTTAATAAACTTGAAAAATGTTAAATTTAGACAATATACACATATGAAAGAAAATTCTCAAAATGAAAATTCATTAAATTCATTTGATTCACAAAAATATCTTCCTTCATCTGTTTTAAAACAAACTACTTGTAAATTAGAAGTAGATGCACAAGCAAGTGAAATATTGAATAAACAAGAAATTCAAAATGGTTTTGATTTAAATCCTGGTCTTGCAGCCATTTGGAATGAAGAAAAATATAGAAGAGAAGCAAAAGGATTACAGAATATTGAATCACAATTTTTATATTCCAATACTAATGAGAGAATTTATAATGTAACAGAAAATGATATTTATCAAGAAGAAAGGTTTATAAAAAGATTACAATCTATATCAGAGGTATGAAGTTATTCCAAGAATTTTCATATAAAAAAAACATAATTTTAATTTATTCATGCTTTTAGATCAGTGATGATATAATATCAAAAGAATATAGTTATCCTTTAGAATTAGAAAATGAAGATAATTCATTTAGTGCTTCATATGTTCCTAATCATTTTAAATCAATAGTATTAAATAAGGAAAATAAAAATGAAATACTTTTAAATAATGATTTATTAAAACTTAAAAAATCTGAAATAAGAGAAAATTTATCTCAAGATAAAATAATAGAAAATAGTATTTGTAAGTAATAGTACTATATAAATAAATACATTTTTCTTTCAAATTTTAATTTTTTTTTGCTTAAATTATTGTTTAAGAAAAATTATATCTTTTAGTGGATTTAGAAGATATGTATTTGCTTGAAATATTAAATAATTTAATAGAAGAAAATGAAGAAGAAAAGATTATAGATAATGATAGTATGTTAGGTTCTCAATTTTCTATGTTAAACAACGAAATTAAGGATGATAATGAAGATGATGAGATTGAAAATTTAAATATTACAAGTTTAGATTTGAATAATATTGATTCATGGAATTCAATTGTTGAATTTGGAACTAAGATCGAAGATAAGAAAACAGATTACATAACTGAAAATAATATTGAAAATAATATTGAAAATACTATTTCAACAGATCTTCCTCAGTATGATGGTTCAAGTGATTTAATTTTAAAAAATGAAAAACAATTATTATCGAAATTTACTAAAAATAAAATGAAAAAAGAAAAAAAAGTATGCACAAAATCAAAGAAATTTATATTGCATTTTAATAAAAATATAGTATTAAATGAATTTGAAAGTAAACATAGAAAATTAGTGCAAACTGAAAAAAAGCTATTCTATTACAAAGATTTAAATATATATAAATTAGATCATCAAGATTTAGATGTTTATGATATTGATGAAATATTTGAACATAAATTAATATTATATAAATATTTAAAAAACCCAATAAATTTTGAGAAAAAATCTAATCCAATTAGTCATGAATCATATCATACTATAAATAGTATTTTAAATAAATTAAATATACCAGCATTTGATGGTAATACAATTGATAGTTCTAGTGATTCTGAATCAGATAAGAATATTACTATTAACAGAGAAGAAAAACGTATTTGTGTTTATAAACCATGTATAAAATCTAAAAGTGACAAAACTATTGATAATATTTCAGCAAAAAAACGAAAATTTAAATTGGAAGATTCTAGTTTGCAATCTATACATAAACGATGTAATTTACAAAATGAATCACATTGTACTCCAACAAAAATAAAAACTGTACATAGTCCATGTTCTGTTTCAAAAAAATATTCTCCACTTAATATAAAAATAATATCTCCAAAAATAGATAAAAATATTAAAAATAACGAATTTTGTAATTTAAAATCTACCTATAATACTTTGAAACAAAATAATCAACAGTTGAAAATGAATCTATTTCATGAAAAAATAAATATTACTTCAGAGACAAATCAAGGTAATTAATATATAATATATTATAAATTTTTTTTTATATATCTAGCATTTTATATTTCATTCTTTTTAGCATTCCTAACACATAATGAAATTTTAAATATTAATAAAACAATTATTTTTAAAGAACATAAAGACAGGTAAATATTATAAATATATATAAATATTTTTAGTTGTATATATGATATATATATATATAGACGCGCGTACACATATATATAATATATATGTATAATATTTAAATTTTAATTTTTCATATTAGCAATATGTATGAAGAATTAATTGAAAAAAAAGATAGAGTATCAACAACAAAATGTAAAAAGGAATTTATTACTAAAAATAACAAAGCAGTTTGTAAAAGATTAACTTTTGTAAATATTAATGAAAAAGATATTAATGAAAAAGATATCGTAAAGAATGATATGAATTTCGAAAATTTATCTTTAACAGAAAAAATGATTAATGATATTGATCAAATCAATGATCTTACTAATAATTCAATAATAATTCATCCCGAACATTCTAAGTTATACACAAAAAATAATGAAAAAATGAATTATGAATTTAATTTTCCAAGTACATCAAAAAATAATATAAATTTAAATGTAGATAATATTTCAAATAAAATATCATTGATAAATAAAAATACAGACGAAAATGAAGATGATATTTTTTGTAATATGACATATACTCAATATCTTAATAAAAAATTAGAAGTGGAATTAGATATTTCAAATATTATATCACGTGATAGTACAAGTGATATAAAAACTAGATTAATTATCATTACTACTAAATTTAATCCACCAAGTAGAGAAAAGATTATAAACTCTATGAAAATGTATGATATTTTAAAATTAAAAAACAATGCATTATTCTTTAGTAATAAAATTGATTTGATGAAGTATAGAGAAAAAGAAAGTTTAAATAATAGTAATATTTACAATGTAATTTCATTTAAATGTAATTTAGACAAAGTTACAGGGATTAAACTCTGGCAACGAGTAAAAATAAACGAATTTTATCCTTCTGGTTCAAGTATAAAATCTTGTGACATAAAAAGAATTTTAGCTGGATATAATTCATTAATAATTCATCCCCTTATTCATCCACCGACATCGAGAAATGTTAAAACTTGGTTAAAAGCTAAAAAATATTTATCAAAAAAAAATAAATATAAAAAAATAAGTGATTATATTGATATTCTAAAAGACACAAAAGAAAATAACATTAAAGAAACATTTAATGAAAGTATGAAATATCATTCACAATGTTCTAATAATTTGGAGAATTCAGATGAATCTAATAATAGTTTTAATCCTTCCTTACAAGAAATGCTTGAAAATCCATTATTATATATGAATGATACGCGATATTTAGGCATTTCATATGGACAAATTGAATATAATTTGAAAGAATATAGTAATAATGTAGAAAAAGAAAATCGTCAAACTGCTAAAAGCTTAAATATGGTGATTATTTCACATTAAAACTTCAAAAGTAATATCATATTAAATATTACTAAATTTTTTTCTTTAAATTATTACAGCACCAATATTTAACAATATTAGCAATAGAAATACATGTTATTACGCGTGGTAAATTTCTTCCTGATCCAAATCATGATTCAATTGAAGCAATATTTTATGCTATTTATAATGATGTTCCATTATCTTCAAAAATTGAACAAATAGAACATGGTATAAATAAGTATCATATATTGTTTAATTATTTTTTTAATTATTTAATTATTTTTAATTATTTTTTTCAAATAATTATAAGTCCAATTACAATTATAATATTATTTTAGGCGTTATTCTTTTAAATTCATCTATAAAAAATTCAAAAGTAAAAAATATATATTCTAGTAATACATGTACTACATCTTATGTATCAAGTGAAGAAGATTTATTAAATAGTCTTATAATATTAATTAGACATTATGATCCAGATATTTTAGTTGGTTGGGAGATAGAATTTCTTTCATGGGGATATATCTTTCACAGAGCTTCTCATATTGGTTTGAATAATTTTATATGGCAAATTTCAAGGATTTCAAATGCAATTCCAATATTTAAAGGACAAGCATTTAATAAAGATAATTTTAGTGATACACAAATACCAGGTCGAATTATTTTTGACGTTTGGAGAGTAATGCGACATGAAATAGCATTATTAAATTATACATTTGAAAATGTTATGTATAATGTTATGCATGAAAGAATTTCATGTCCTACCTTTCAAATGTTATCTGAATGGTGGAATCATGAAAATATGACTATGCAATGGAGAGTTATTACTCATTATATTATAAGAGTTATAGGTACTCTGAGAATATTAATTCATCTTGATATTATTGGTTTGTATTACTTATTACTTTAACATTTTATTTTATTATTTATTTTGCAATTTTATAATTTTTCATATTATATTTCAGGTCAAACATGTGAACATGCACGACTTTTTGGAATACAATTTTATGAAGTCTTTTCTAGAGGTTCTCAGTTTCGAGTTGAGTCAATGATGTTGAGACTTGCAAAACCTTTAAATTATATTGCAGTTTCACCTTCTGTACAACAAAGAGCACGAATGCGTGCACCTGAATCTCTACCGCTTATTATGGAACCACAGTCTGCATTCTATACTGATCCATTGGTTGTCCTGGATTTTCAAAGTTTATATCCGAGTATTATTATAGCTTATAACTATTGCTTTTCTACATGTTTAGGTCGTATAGAGCATATTGGTCAGTAAGTATAATTAATATTTTTATATTTATTATAATTTTAAATACAATATATTATTTAAATATATTAAATTATATAAATTATTAAATTATATAAATATATTAAATTATTCTTATTTATTCTAGATATGAGCCATATGAGTTTGGTACAACTACATTAAAGATAAAGAAGAATATTGCTCAAAAACTAGTGGGTAAAATAAATTTTGCACCTTGTGGTGTAGCTTTTGTAAAACCAGAAATACGAATGGGAATATTACCACGTATGCTTTCAGAAATTTTAAATACTCGATTAATGATAAAAAAATCCATGAAACTTTATGAAAGTGATAATAATATATTACAACGTATTCTTTATTCACAACAATTAGGTCTTAAATTAATTGCAAATGTTACTTATGGTTATACAGCTGCTAATTTTAGTGGTAGAATGCCTTGTATTGAAGTAAGTAAAATATGTAATATTTCTATATATTTTTTTATAAAATTAATCATTATTATTAATCTAGATAGGAGATAGTGTTGTTAGTAAAGGAAGAGAAACATTAGAACGAGCAATTAAAATAGTAGAATCTACAGATAAATGGGGAGCTGAAGTTGTTTATGGTGACACAGACTCTTTGTTCATTCTTTTACGTGGAAAATCAAGAAAAGATGCATTTATAATTGGAACTGAAATTGCTGATACTATTACTGCAGCTAATCCTCCTCCTGTAAAACTCAAATTTGAAAAAATTTTGCAACCAGCAATATTACAAGTAATATTTAATATTTAATATATAAAATAATTAATTATATAATTAATAATTTAATATATAAAATACATATTAATATATTTATAGAATCTTTGGAAAATTGAAAATATAAAAATATGAATTATTTATTAAATTATTTATAAACATTTATGTTTAGAAATTTAAAAAAAGCGAGGCGAATATAAAGAGAGAGGTATAACAGAGACAGAATTTCAATTTCTATCTTTATCTATGCTTTTTTCTAATACAACAATTGCTAATTTATAATTTATTTATTATAAATATTAATCAATATAAGATTTTTTTAAAATCAAAATTTTCAAAAATATCCCATAAATATATTAATATATTAATACTATTATATAGTATTATGTAGTATTGTATATATTAATTTACAATATTTTTTTTATATTTAGACTAAAAAAAGATACTGTGGTTATATGTATGAATCTCCAGAACAAACAAATCCTGAATATTTAGCAAAAGGAATTGAAACTGTTCGTAGAGATGGTTGTCCAGCTGTATCTAAAGTAAATAAAATAAAATTATTGTGAAAAAAATAAAATAAAAATATTAATAAATATTAATAATAATTTTATATTTTAGATACTTGAAAAAACGTTAAAAATTTTATTTGATATAAAGGATCTTTCTATGGTAAAATTATATGTTACCAGACAATTTGATAAAATTTTACGTCAAAGAATATCTATTCAAGATTTAACGTTTGCAAAGGAATTTCGTGGCTTGAATGGTTATAAAACTAATGCTTGTGTACCTGCTTTAGAATTAACACGAAGATTAATGCGTAAAGATCCACGAGCAATACCTCGTACTGGTGAAAGAGTTCGATACGTTATAGTTGCTGGAGCCCCAAATCAACCTTTAATTCAATGTGTGCGAACTCCAATGGAAGTAATTTCAGATGAAGGTTTAAATCCAAATTCAATATATTATATAACAAAAGTTATCATACCACCTCTTAATCGATGTTTAAATTTAATCAACATTGATGTTAATACATGGTATAGCATGTTTTTATGTTATATATTTATTATTTAATAAATTTTTTTTATAGTATTTTTTTATAGCATATTTAAATTTTATTTATATATTTGTCATTTGTATCAATATTAATTTTTTTTTTTATTTTAGGTATAGAGAAATGATCCATCGTCAGACATCTGATAAAACAATTGGTTTATGTACAAATAATCAAAAATTAACTATTCGGCAATTTTTTAATACTATTGTATGCGTTACTTGTGGAAATCAAACGCAAAAAGATATTTGCATGAATTGTATAGCAAAACCAAGTCAGACAATTACTATTTTATATGAAAAATTAAGATGGTTGGAACGTACTCATCATGAACTTACTATGGTATATGTATATGTTAACTGTATTACATAAAATATATTTTATTTTTTTTAGATATTAAAACTAAATTAAATTATTAAAAATATATATTTTTTTTTAGATGTGTCAATCTTGTACTGGTTATTTAGATGAACCAAAATGTGAATCTTTAGATTGTCCAATTTTATATCGTTTAATGCAAGCTAAAAGAGATCTCATTCAAATAACATATTTGAATAATATTATTTATAATAGTGATATTTCTTGTATACATAAAAAAAATATAAACTAATGATTGTTATCTTATCAAATGGAACATATATTCATATCTTTGTGATATATAGAATATTTATAATATTTAAATCAATATGTAATATTGGATAGAAAGTTATTTTAAATCTTTAATAAAAGAATTATAATTTCGATTTTGACAAAAATCAAGTTTGGAAATTTATTAAGTACACATGTACATAATTAATTTTCAGTAAAATTTGTTTAATAATATTATCAAAAAAATAAACTTTAAATAATTTATTTTAAATGTGATTTTCTTAATTTTTTTAAATAATATTTCAAATAAAAAATTTTATTTTACTTTTTCGATTTCTCTTTGTAGAATAATTTTTTGCTTTTATACATATATATCCATTTTAAAATTCTCCATATAATAATATATATCATTATATTTTTTACTATTTTAATTACATATTAATTATTATATGTATATGTGTTATATTGAAAAATAATAAAATCAAAAAGATATATCTAATACTCAAGTATTATTTTGCAAAAAATTGATTTGAACATAAAGATTATTTATTATGTCACCAGATAGCGTGGTATATTGAATATTATTACATGTAAGCTGTTAACATATTCGTGGAATACATTTGGAGGATCAATTTTAAGGTTAAAATAAATATAAAAATATCAATTAAAACTTATTTATTAAGTTATAAGCAATTGCGTTAAATAGAAATAAAATGAAATTATTTTGTCTCGGTATTGCTTCATACATAAACTTAAATTGTTTGTAATTTAATTTAATAAATAAGCTTTAATTGACATTTTGGTATACTAATTTTTTGTATTATTTGTATTGGTTTTTAAAATTGATTCTTTAAAAATGTTTCGAAAATAACTTACATATATATACACATTGTATGTGTATATATACACAATATTATACATATACATATTTATCTACATTATATATTTATATGGTAAAGAATTCCATCATTTAATCTGCATCATTTAATTTCTTATAAAAAAAATATTCATTTCGAATTTTCAATATTTCCAAGAATAAGTGGAGATAGTGCTACATAGTATATATAATATATGTGTTACTAGAGACAAAGATACATTCATGAAAAATTGATTAAATAAAGGAATGTAAGTTTGATTGGTTACTTCTAATAGATCCAATAAATTCATAAAAAGAGGTATACATATTGACTAAAAATATTACATTTACAAACGAGAACATATACTATCATGTTTCAGTGAGCGATAGAAAGAAGTAAAGGAACAGTCTTCTGCTGTTAGCCATATTTTCGTGGATGCATTTATAATTTATATAAGTTCCTCCCGCGCAGTATTATTTTAAAAGTGATCTATTTTATAATTAAAAAATAATCTGTTAAGATTTAAATATTTATTTTTTTTATATTTTTATTTATATTGTGGAAAAAAAATATTTATTTAATTATTTGAAATGAAATATTTTATTTATATTATATATTATATTATGTATTAATATTATTTTTGCGGAGTTTTTTGATTTTAAAAATCAAAATGACATATACTTGCTTATAAGTGTTTTTTAAATATGTTATAAGAAATAAAATTCATATAATATTTCTAATTTAGAGGTATAATATATCTATATATTTTATTTATTTAGTTACATCTCTCATGATAATAACAATAATATATTTATTTATTAACAAATTTAAAATAACATATTTATTTTAAATTTTATATTTATTTATATTTCATATATATTGTATTTATTATTAATACATACTTGTTAAATATAATATAATTATATGAATTTATTAAAAACTAAAAATGTACCATATTCTTTATATTGTTTAGAATTTGATATTAAATTTCTTTATATGTTATGTACATTCTAAAAACTTTTTCTTAAATTTTGTAGCAAATACCATGTCAAAAAAAAACAAATCATCTAAACATAAAATTTGCTGCTTCTGTAGATCATCACAAAATAATGAATTGGAATTTGGAAAATTTTATGAAGATGGTAACATTGTTACACATTATTATTGTTTGGTACATAGTTTTTATAAATATTTTTATTATTATAATAAATATTATTATAATATATGATATTTCAATATAATATTTTATAGCTTTTATCATCAAATATGCAACAGAGAGGAAAAGATGATCAAGGTATTTTAGGTTTTTTGAAAACGGATATACAAAAAGAAATTCGCAGAGGAAAAAGACTGGTAATAAATTATATACAAAGAAAAAAAATTTATAATTATTTAAAATATTTTAATTTAAAGGTATGTTCATATTGTAAAAAATCTGGTGCCACTCTGGGATGTTGCAATGTAAAATGTAAAAAAATATTTCATTATCCTTGTGGGTTAAGGGCTGGTACCTTAAATCAATTTTTTGGTGAATTTAGGTATATTATATTTATATTTTTTAATTTTAGATTTTTTAAAAAGAAGTTTAATATATTACGATACATTTTAGATCATATTGTATAAATCATAGACCAAAGCAAAAAATAGATACTCAAGTTAAATATGAATTAAAAAAAATGAATGAAATAGTATGTTATATATGTTACGAGGAAGTGGATTCTTATAATAAAGTTGATACAATGTGGGCTCCATGTTGTAAAAAAAATGCATGGTTTCATAGAAAATGTGTACAGGTAAAATAATTCATTAACTATTTGTAATTTTAATTACAAAAAAGTATACATTGATAAAAAATTAAAAAAATTTTTTTTAGCAACTTGCTATGAGTGCTGGATATTTTTTTAAATGCCCTTTATGTAATGATAAAAAATTATTTCAAAAAGCAATGTTAGAATTTGGTATTTTTATCCCAAGTCAGTAAGTAAATTAATGAAACTTGTACATTTTATAATAAAATGTTAAAATTATAATATTTAATTACTTTTATATTTTTTTTTTAGAGATGCTTCATGGGAACTTGTACCCAATGCATTTGAAGAACTTTTATATAGACATGATCAATGTGATGCTTCTGTATGTCTTTGTCCTAAAGGAAGGAAATATACAAGTTTTAATGCGTAAGTGAAAAAAAAATATTTTATTTATTTTTATATAATATGATTTTGGTTTTTAGTTTCTCATTTTTTATATAATTATAATTATAATTTAATAGAAAATGGAAATTAACACTTTGTCGCACTTGTGGTTCACAAGGAATTCATATGGCTTGTGGACAGCTTAAATGGACTAATCCTGTTTGGGAATGTACAGAGTGTATTTCTATTCTAGGTAAGGAACAAAGTATTTTTTAATTAATTTTCAGAGAATCAATTTTTCTCTTATTAAATTTTTTTTTATATTTTTATATATAGGTAAATCTAAAGAAATTGCTAGTTCAAGTTCAATAAGAGATACATTAGAGTATGTATTAATTTTTTTTTAAGTTAAATTAAATATTAAAATATTAAATTGAAATATATAAATATTATTAAAATAATAGTGTAAATTTAATATAAAATTAATATATATATTAACTATTTTATTAGGAATATTTCTGATACAGATGATTCAAACAGTGATATTTCTGTTGGTAAAGATTCACCTGTACCATTTATATCAAGTTCACCACTTATAAGCTCCACATTACAAATGTCAACTATTAAATTACGTCCTGGTCCTCGAATTTATAAATTAAAACAACTTGAAGCAAATAAAGAAATGCAAAAGTTAATATTTAAAAAATACAAAATATTAAATATATTACATTTAATTACATTCTAATAAAAATATATTTTAATGTTCAATAGCATTAATAAACAACAAACCAGCAAAAACATAAATATATTGAATTTAACAAATATGGAACAATATAGTGTACAATCTACAAGCAGTAACGAAATTTTTACGAATGTGTCAAGTTCGATAAATGAAGACAATATCAATTTTTCAATTCGACATTCCAAATCACAGTTGGATGAACAAGCTAATAATATTTTTACACTTGATAATGTTAATGGCATTATAGAGGCAAATATTTATAAATAACAATTAAATAAAAATCACATAAATATTAAAAATATGAATTAAATAATTTTATAAAATAATAAAATTTACATATTTTGCAGGCCAATAAATGTACTACATTAAATGATAAATTTGTTATTGAGGATAATGAAAACGAAAAAAAATATGTATCTGAATTTAAAGACGTTAAAATTGAATTTAATAAAAATAATATTCTATATGATTCTATTCCATCAAAAATAGAAAAATTACAAAATAATTTAAATCAAAATAATAATAAGAATTTTCAAATGAATAATTTAAATTTAATTGAGTCAGATAATTTAAGGAAATTCAATTTACAAAATAAGACAAAATCTAATATTTTAGATGATAAAATAAAATTAAATCATGAAAATGAATATATTTATAGTGATTTTGTTTCAAATATTAAAATTACAAATGTAGTTTCATTGGCACCTGAAGAATTTGAAAATGTAATGTCTGATGAACAAAAAAAAATCAAAAATCGAACATCACAAAATAGAAATTCAATATTACATGAAAATGATATTTTGGAATCAAATTTGAAAAGGAAATGTGACAAAATTACAATGAATCCAATAATGTCATATATAAATGAATCTAAAAGATTGAAAAAAAGTAACAGTGTAATAGGAGAAACATCAAAATCATCATGCATTTCTACAAATGCTTTAATAAATGTTTCATCTAATAAAAATAATTTGCAAATTATTCAGTATAATGAAAATAATACTTCTATAAATGATTGTAACATACAGAATAAAAAATCACATATTCAGATTAAAGAAAATTGTAATTTCGAAGATATACTATGTACATCTAATACAAAATGTTTATCAAAAATTGATACATCAAATAATTTATTATATAATAAAACTGATTTAACAAATGAAGAAAATACTTATACATATATAGGTATTACAAATGATGCGAATAAAGAATTTGAAAATATTAAAATTGATAATAACATAAAAAATGTAAGTAAGATATTTTTTTAAATTATTTTTGTATTTTTTTTTTGTAAAAAATAAAGTGTATAATAAATATCTTTTTCTAATTTTTCCGGTAATATTTTATAAATTCAGTGTTTATTATTATTAAATATTTATTATTAAATAATTTATATTTAAAATATTCATTTATTTAAAAAATAGATAATTTATAAATTGTTTTTTTATAATTTTTTATAATTATATTCTATTTTGTATTATTTATTTAAGAATAATTATGTTAATTTCGTATATTTCAACTTAAAAATTAATTTTAAAGAGAAGTAAGATATCATGGAAACTCTGTTTATAAATTTCCCATTTTTTTTTCAATGTATTATTTGCAATCCTAACAGTGTGATGAAGATGTAAGTATTAATTCTACTAGAGAATCGAGAGATAAAATTTTTACAAATGATATAAGGATCAAAAACATTGATAAATCTGTAAATTTAGACGATTTGAAATCTAAAAAATCACAAAAATTAGAACAATGGAAATCTCAGAATAATGTTGAAATGTAAGTATTATAAATTATTCTTTCTAAACCTTTATAATCTTTATTAAAATTAAATTTTATATTTTTATAATTTTATATGGATAAAATTTTTGTTAAGTAATATCAATTTATTAACAAAATATTATAATATCTTATAAATTGCAGGATTAATGCAAATTATAGAATATCAAACAATAAATTTCATGATATATGTTGGCAAGAAAAAAATAAAACTATAGATTATAATTATTCTCAATTAATACCAGAATATGTATGTTTACGAGATCTTAAATTTCGTGTACATAATATAAATAATCTGCAGGTAAATATATTTTAATTAATATAATATATATAATATATTAATAATAATAATATATATATAATATAATGTAAATATAATATATAATATATATATATAAATAATTATATATAATAATATAATAACTTATATTATTATTAATATATGTTAGGAATTTCATTAAATAATATGTATAAAATTACATTTTTTTGATGCAGATGATCTTGTACAATAAATTTTCTGTAAATATTAATATGGAATGTGTAAGTATTATAAAAAAGAATATTATATTTGATACATGAAAATATCTGTACCTCAACAAAATATTTTAAAACACAAAATAAAACTTTAAAATTTGGAAATATTTTCCAGAATATTTCATCTGCTTATACTGAAGACAAAAACACATATATATTTAATGAACATTCTAAAAATTATCAAGATGAAACAAAAGAAAATTTAAATCCAGAGACAATTTCTTGCAAAAATATAACAGATGATTTATTAATGAACACAGAATTAAATATAAATGATTCAAATGTTTTTATAAATAATAATGAGAATGAAAAAATCACACAATCTATGTTTAAAATAATTGAAAATAATAAAGAAGGAAATAATGAAGGAAATAATGAAAATATTAATTTAATTGATAACATTGAAAATAATTTTGATGCTACAATAAATTATAATGATAATTGTAATAAAAAAATGAACGACATAAAACAGAATATTCCAAATTTAAATTTTGATAATATAACAGACAATTCACGTGAAATACATAATATAATAGAAAAAGATTTGAAAAATGATTCTTATAATTCAACAAAATTAATTCAACATGTATTCTTTCTTGAAAATCATGCAAATAAATCAAATAAATCAGGAAACATAAATAAAAAAGAGTTTAAAGTAAGTATTGATTTAAAGAAAATAAAAAATTTTGTTGATAATAATCCAGATTTGTTCTCAAGATATAAAAAAGAAGGTAATGAAAGATGCACTGAACAAGCTTCTTTTTTAAGAGAAACAAATAATATAAGAAAAAGATTTAATTTATCAGAACACATAAAAAATTTTCAGATATAAGATAAATAAAAATTTTGAAAACTTTATACTATTATGATATAAATGTATATATTTAAAATAAATAAAATATAAATGTAGAATATTAGAATTAACAAATCGCAGTTGAAACTATAAAAAATATTAAAAATACATTTATTGAAAAAAAATTTTTTCACTAAATTTATATATAATACTTAATCAAATAAAAAATGTAATAACAAAGAAATTTTAAGAAGATAATAAAATAGATAATAAAAAATAATAAAAATTTAAAGAAAATAATATATATTTTATGAATATTTATAATATAAATATGTATATAAAAATATTTTAAAGCTAAATCTTAAAAAAGTACTTGTTTATATTATATTATGTCGTTTAAGTTAAAAATGTTCATATATTATATTTATTTATAACAAGTATATTACTTTTATAGTATCTATATAGTAAAATATTGATGTATTAATTATATAATATTTTAAATATTTATATAATGATAATATAAAATTTGTAGATATTATGAAAATATATATATATATATATATATATGTAGAATATTAATATATATGTGAGACTCTGGAATGTCAATTTTAAAAATCAAAACAAATGCAAAAATTAATATACAAAAATATTGGGATTGTTAAAATTTATTTATTAAATTATAAATTGCATAAACAAAGTGCTCGCAAAAAAGATAGTGAAATTTATATGATGATTCTAGCTTCATTATAGCGCTATCATAATCTATTTCTACTTATCTAATGTGAATTTAAATTATTTATAATTTAGATTATTTAGTTTAAATAAATTTAATTTAGATTATTTAATTTAAATAAATCTTATCAATATTTTGTATATTGTATCTTATCAACAATTTTTGTATTTGTTTTGATCTTTAGAATCAACTTTCCTATAATTAGGCCATGAATATATTAATATTCTATATATGTTATACATAGTTGGATAATACAATTGAATAGAAAATAAATATAAATTGATAATATTAATAATATTATAAATAATATTATAATATTGATAATATTATAAATAAATATAAGTATATAAGAAAAAAATAAAACTTTCTTATTTAAAATTTATTTTCAACAAAAAATCAAGTTTGAAAATTATTTAGAAAATTTTTTAGAAATTATTCAAATATATATATATGGCAAACTTTCAAATTTAATATTCTTAAAAATGAAGCTTTAAGCACAAAATTTTATTGTGTTTTTATGATATATTTGATTTATTTTTATAGAATAATTTGTTATCTAATTGTATTATCTAATTTAAAATATTCTTTATGTAATGATAAATATATAATTGTTTATTGTTTTATTTCAATTATAAATGAAAAATATTATACATTTATATTGATAAAATTACATTTCAATTCTGTATTTAATTTTAATTTTGAAAATATTTATAATAAGTACTATTTATAATATAAATTTATTTGACCTGCCGTTCTGTTTTTAATATATTATTACAATTTATGTAACTTGATGTATATCTTATGTTGACAACTATAAAAATAAGATTTATTTTATTATAATATAGATAAATATGATTTTATTTTTATAAAATAATAGAAATAAGCAAATATAATTTAAAAAATAACTCAAATATAAATATCAATTGTTTAAAATTAAAAGTAAAGATATATTTAACAGATAAGCTATAAATCTAATATTTGAAATGAGAAATAAATATTGGAAGTAATTTCAATTTTATTTATAATTTAGATAATATATTACTTATAATTGTTATGTTTATATTAAGTTTCATTAATTTTTTATTAATCCTGAATATTATTGATTTATTTGCTTCTTTTACATATCGTTAAAAAATTACGAGATTTTTCTGATTTTTAATAATATTGTAACAAAGTTTTAACATTTAATATTTAAATTCTTTTAAAAGTAAACTTTTTTTTATTAATTAGCATTCTATTAAAAATTTATTTATAACATTATATATATATAATATATTAAATGTAATATAAAATGTAAATATTTTTTTTATGCTTATAAAATACTTATTAGATTAACATAGAACAACATAGGATAATTAAGTTATTTCTCTTGAAAATTTCTGATTTGTAAAAAAATAAAATTTATTTGGAAAAATAAATCGAAACAGAATAGCATGGTTAATTTATAATAAAGTTTTATAAATTTATAAAACATTAAAAATATAAATAGTATATTAATAGTTTATTTGCAATAAAAAATACATAAATATATTAAATAAACATATAAATATTTTATTACTATTTTTTAAAATAATTTTGTATTTTATTTTGTTTTAGGTAATATAACAGACATTTTTCTTAAAATTTGTTCATGTTAATTAACATGAATTTAAATATAATTTAAGTATAAATGAAATAAATAGATTAAATAAAGCAATTGTGAACAAATTATAAAATCTACTATATCAAATAAACAATATAAATATCAATTCATACAAATAAATATAAATTATTTCAAAATTATATAAGAAAACAAAGTTTAAAGGAATTTTTATTGTTTCAACCTTACATTTTTTATATTGAATTATTTTAATAACTACGGCCAAAAAGTGTATAAAATTTCGGTTTGTTTTGACAATTAGGATGAATACATGTTTGTTTGTCAGAAGATAATAATGGTTGTTCAAATGGTATACAAAGACTTTTTGCGCCCATTGATAATGTTCCAAGCTCTCCTAGCGTATCTTCCCTATGAAAAAAAATAAAATATATATATACATAATTTATTATGAAAATACAATTATTTAAAAAAATTTTAACAATATTTACCGTGCACTGTCAGCTTTAATATTATCTTCACAAGATGATTCCCCACAAAATGGTGATAATAATATATTTTTCTCATTTAAATAAGAACAAAATTCATTCCAATTATCTGCACGTTTGATATGTTCATTTAAGTTTTTTCTTGCTCTGTTAAAAAAAGAAATTAATTATAATAATAATATATTTATATTCTGTTTTTAAATGATACTTACTTGGAAAGCATACTTGTTTGTATATCAGTCAACAATGTATGTAAAGCAACAAGCACTTCAGATCTATTTGCAAATACTCTTTGAAAATTATCCCTGCGTACAAAAGTGACTTGATTTTTTTCTAAATCTTTAGGTCCTAATTCAATTCTTACAGGCACTCCTTTCAATTCCCAATGATTAAATTTCCAACCTGGCGTGCGATTATTGCGATAATCTGCTTTAACTCTAAGTAATTTATCTTTTGATAATTCATCCAATAATTTATTACATTCAGAAAATAATAACTCTCTTTGTTGTGATGTTGTATTAGCTGTAATACCACAAGGTACTATAATAGCTTGAATACAAGCTACATTTGGTGGTAATACTAAACCTTTATCATCTCCGTGAATCTATAAATTTATTACAATTATTTCATTGAAAAATATTTTTATATAAATTTTTATATTAAAAACAAAATTCTTATATTAAAATAAAAAATATATACCATTATCATAACTCCAATTGTTCGAGTTGTTAGACCCCATGAATTTTGATAGACAAAAGTTTTTTCATCACTTTCTACGGCACCTTCTACTTGAATATTGAACATTTTAGAGAAATTTTGTCCAAGATGATGACTTGTTGCTCCTTGTATTGCACGACCACTTGTTGAAATAAAAGCTTCAACTGTAGTAGTATAATCACCACCAGCAAATTTCTCCTTTTCAGTTTTACGACCTTTAATAACAGGTACTGCTAATAAATCTTCATATACTCTTGCATACATATTTAAAATCATTAAAACTTCTTCATCAGCCTCAGCTTTAGTAGCAAAAGCAGTGTGACCTTCTTGCCACAAAAATTCTCTTGTACGCAAGAAAGGTTTGGGATCTTTAAATTCCCATCTCTGTAATAAAAAATTTTTTTATGATAATATCATAAATTATAAATACAAGCTACATTTAGTGGTAATAAAGAAGGTAAGAAATTTCTTTTTTGTAATAATTAATTATTTATATTTAATACTTACTACTACATTATTCCATTGATTAAGTTTTAAAGGAAGTTCAGTATCGGATTTTAACCATTTGGCATAAGCAGGATACATTACAGTTTCTGATGTTGGTCTTATAGCAATTGGTTCCGATAAATTCGATTCTCCACATTTTGTCACCCATGCAACTTCAGGAGCAAAATCTGTTATGTGTGCTTTTTCTTTTTCTAATACTGTTCTCGTAACGAAAATAGGAAAGTAACATTCTTGTACACCCATTTGTGTTATTTCTTTATCAATATATTCTTTTATTGCTTTCCAAATAGCAAAACTCCACGGACGGAGAATATAACAACCAGATACATCATAATATTCAATCATACCACTTTTAGTAATAATTTGAGAATACCATTCAAAGAAATTTTCTTCTTTTTTTGCTTCCAACCCTAATCTTGTTTTGCCTACATCTATATCTTTTATATCTTCATTTTTATTTATTTCTTTATTTGATATATTTTTTCGTTTTTCGCATTTAGAAGTATCTTCTTTCTTTTTCTTCTTAGGCGATGTATCATAGTTTATTGCCTTCCATTCTTGACCAGTTAATGTTTTATAATTATTTTTCAAATCTATTAGAATTTTTACTTCTTTATCAATAATACTTTTATCTGTTTTAATTTCTTTTAATTGCCTTACTTTATCTCCTTGTTTTTGTATACTTTCTAAAATTTTATCTACAGAATTTTCTTTATGTGTTATATTATTAGTTATTGGTTTCCAATCTTGACCTGTAGCCAACTTATACTCTGCTTTCAAAGCCAATAGCTTTTTTACTTCTTCATCAATGATGCTTTTCTCTGCTTTCATACTTTTTAATTGTCTTATTTTATCTCCTTGTTCTTGTATATTTTTCAAAATTTTATCAACAGAATTTTCATTTTTACATATCACGTTAGTTTTTAAAGTAGATGGTTTCCAATCTTGACCTGTAATTATTTTATAGTCTGATTTTAAAGTCAATAGTTTTTTTACTTCTTCATCAATAATATTTTTCTCTGCTTTTGTACTTTTTAATTGTCTTATTTTATCCCCTTGTTTTTGAATTTCACCAGATAATTTTATATATGAGTCTTTTGGTATATTTTGTGTTGCATCTTGAATTTTTATTTCACTCCAATCAATACCAGTTTTATTTTTATATTCTTTTTTTAAATCTGAAAATAATTGTATTTCTTGATTTATTTTTGATTGTAGGTCTTCAATTTTTCTTTCTTGTTGTATAATATTTTCGGATAATTCATTTTCTTTAGATATCAATTGTTGTTGAAATTTATTTGAATTATTATTGAATTTATTTGAAACCATAGTACATATATTTTCCTGAGAATTTTTTTTAATAGAAGTCGAAGTAATATTAGAAAATGTTGATTTTGTATTTGCAATATGACCATCTGGAATATGAAATAGAATTAAAGGTTCTTCTCTAGAAGAAAATGAACTAATTGGAGCATAAGGTACATCACATCGAAAAAATCCTTTTCTTTGCAATTGAATTATTTCTCCTTTTCTCACACGTTTCAATTCTGTTTCTCCAAACATTTGTACTTCAATCTAAAATATTTATTATATATTTTTGACTATTTTTTAAATCTATGATTTTCATATAAAAATTTTATATAATATTTTTATATAAAAACTTACTCTTGTATTTTCTGTAATAAAATTTTTGTAATCATCATCCTTTCCCAATATTGGTTTATTTATAATATGATCAAAATAAACAGCATAGCACGGAATTAGATTAATTTTATTGATATTATCATTTTTATCAGAAGGTATGGATAACCACGTAATTTTTAATGTATTTTTATAATCTTTATTTTCCAAATTTAATTGTCCTATTATTTGTTTAATGACATCATTTTTTTTCTCAATTTTTTTTATTATTATGTTACCCCAATTAATAAAAGTAACATTTTGGCCTTCAATTAGCATATTTGCATCATCTCTTTCAATATATAGCTCTGATCTTACTAATACTTGTTTTGTACCTTTTGATGCATCTTTTGGATGATTTTGGACAACTAGCCACTTTTCTTCTACATCACTTATATGTACTGGTACAATTTTATCATATTCTAAAGCAGTATATCTGAAACATAATATTATATGGATTATCTTTAAATATTTTTTATAAAAAAATTGTTCATATAATAGTATACCTAGTGGCAATTGGATCAATGACTTTTTTGTTAAATGCCCATATTTTATCCCATTCCATGAAAACGACAGATTTCGAACTACCTTGAGCAATGATAAATTGCTTTAATCCTTCAATTGTCATTCCCCTTCTCAAAATACCTCGTACAGTTGGAAAACGTGGATCATCCCAACCATCAACTAAACCTTCATTAACAAACCAAGTTAATTTTCTTTTTGATAAAACTGTATGTGTCATATTCAAACGTGAATATTCCCAAATATAAGGACGTCTCAGTCCTAGAGAATCTATTATCCAATAAAATTGAATATCTCTGTCATGATATTCTGTTGTGCGTAAAGTATGAGTAACATTTTCAATGGCATCAATGATTGGACAAGCAAAATCATATGTTGGATAAACTCTGTATAGAAAATTATAAATAAGTTATATATAAAAATAAATAAAATATTTGTTAATTTGTTTAAATTATTTAATATCTAATGCATACTTATATTTTGTTCCAGTTCGAGGATGTGGTTCTGGTTTGCACCTATAAATTGTCGGATCTCGTAAACAACCATTCGTTGATTGATAATCAATTTTTGCTCTAACACAACATTCTTGACCTTTAACAGTACCCTGTTGCATTTCTTCCCATAATTCAAGATTTTTTTCAATAGCTGAAAATATTTTCGCTATAATAACTTAATAATTTTCTTTCATTTAAACAATTTTAAAATTTTTTATATTTACAATTGTTTCTATTTGGTGACATTAATTTTTGATCACGTTGTTCTTTCATTATATCAGCTGGAGTATCATCTATGTATGCTTTATTTTCTTTTAATAATTTAGTACAATATTCCAACATTAAATCAAAATAATCAGAAGAATGTGTAAATCGATCTGGTTTAATTTGTAATAGTTCTAAATCTTCTAGAATAGCTTTCTCAAATTCTACATTTTCTTTTGCAGGATTTGTATCATCAAATCTCATAATGAGTTGTCCTTGAAATGTTTCTGCATAATATTGATTTAACAAAGCAGCCTTAGCATGTCCAATATGTAAATATCCACTTGCTTCTGGTGGAAAACGTACTACAACCTATTATAATATATATGAT